TCCCCTCCATTCGGAGAATTACTCACTCTGTGGCTGGTCTGTGCTTCGATGGACTGTGGTCAAGTGAGCCGGCACGCTTTTGGATAGAATTGAGCAGCATGCATATGCAGACATAGTGCACTAATGTAGAAATTCAATTCAGTTTATTTATATAGCGCCACATCACAACAGAAGTCACCTCAGGACTGAACAGAAACATTTATATACATATAAAATCAGTTAATAATGTTATTTGTCTAAGGAGCCAACAGGTTGCTTTGAGTTTTCACTTCATCACTGTCTCCCATCTTAAGCAAGTACAGAGGCAACAGTGGAAAGGAAAAAGTCCCTCATGAGGAAGAAACCTCCAGCAGAACCAGGCTCAGGACAAGTGGCCATCTGCTTCGACCGGCTGGGTTAAATGCTGTCTGGACGAGATTTTCTGTACAACATGGACGGTTTCATGAAATACTATCCATCCATCAATTTTCTTCCGCTTATCCAGGGTCGAGTCACGGGGGTAGAATCTTAAGTAGGGAGGCCCAGACTTCCCTCTCCCCAGCCACTTGGTCCAGCTCCTCCGGGGGTATCCCGAGGCGTTTCCAGGCCAGCCGAGAAACATAGTCCTTCCAGCGTGTCCTGGGTCTTCCTCTGGGTCTCCTCCTTTTGGGATGTGTCCGGAACACCTCACCAGGGAGGCGTCCAGAAGGCATCCTAAAAAGATGCCCGAGCCACCTCAACTGGCTCCTCTCGATGTGGAGAAGCAGCGGCTCTACTCTGAGTCCCTCTCGGATGATCGAGCTTCTCACCCTATCTCTAAGGGAGAGCCCAGACACCCTGCGGAGAAAACTCATTTCGGTCGCTTGTATCTGAGATCTCGTTCTTTCGGTCACAACCCAAAGCTCATGTTCATAGATGAGGGTAGGACCTCCTCCCTAATCCAGAGAGGGCACTCTACCCTTTTCCGGCTCAAGACCATGGCCTCGGATTTGGAGGAACTGATCCTCATCCCGGCAAATACCATTTACTGCATCATTAAATTAAAGTAAGTCAAAGCTACCGGTAATTTTAAGCGAACCTTCGTCTTTGTCTCCCACTTGTTTTGGGACTGATTTATGCAGTACTGTATATCTAGCACAAACTGGGTTCTGTTTGTGTGCAACCAGTTGTACATAGAGGTGCTGAAGTGCACAGGAGCCAGTTTGTTACTGAAAGCTTGAATATGATGGATTTAATTACTTAATGGAAATCTACAAGCTAGATTACTAGGCTCAGATGGAGTTCAAAGTGAAGTTCCCTGTGGATCAATTAAGACAATAAGCCAACTGACTTAACACCATCTGTCAATCTAACCAGTAGGTTTGTCAACACCTGATCAATCGTTGTCCCAAAGTGAAACGCCTCTTATCTCTTACCTCTTACCTGCAGGAGCTGCTGCTCCTTTTCATCCATTATCGGGATTTTTCGTTACAAACACTTTGTGGTCAGAGGGATTTCATGAAAAATCATAAAAAATGGTTAAACGTTGTCAGTGGGGAACATGCAGTTCAGACGTGTGTTACCCTGAGCGTTTAGAGAATGAAATGTAAAAGATGGATAAAGACTGGTGGCTGACCTCATGAGCAGCTGAATACAACAGTGATGAACAGGAAGTACCACGTGTTCATCTGTACAAGGTAACTACAAGTAAATCCTCCATTTTCTGTAATGATTACATTATGTGCTTAATGGTTAAAGATTAATGCTTGAAGCTAGTTGTGCTTTGTTTTGTGTGTTTTATTTGTAGATATATGTTTAAACTTCTGGTTGCACAAGTTTAGTCTTTGTTTGCTACAATCAGTTATGATCATATCAATGATGTTGCACAAAGCGTTTATCAGATTGTGTAATGTAAAGTTAGTTACTTAGTACATTCTGAATCTCACTGTAAGTTCACGTCATGTCAGTCGTTAGAGTTTGAGTGTGGAAAAGAGTCTGGGAACAAAGTGTTTTGTTTTATTTTTTACCAGCATCTCTAAGTACTTTAATATGATAGGAGTGTTAGATGTTTGTAATCATTAAGGCATGTGGCTCTGGGTGTTTTGGACACTGGTATGATGGCAGCGGTCTTTGAAACTTGCTGCTACAACAGCCTGGTTCAGTAAAATGTTAAACATGTCAGTGAGAACTGGAACCAGCTGGTCAACACATTCCCTGAGCACACGTCCTGGTATGTTATCAGGCTCTGCTGCCTTCAATGTGTTCACTTCCTCAAAGCTCTCCAGACATCAGCCTTTCTAAGGCCTCCTTTACACATCATTTTTAAGTGAAATTGTTACATTTCTGTTGTTTTGTCTGTTCGTGTACACAATAAAAGTGGTCATTTTCTCTGACATGGAAACTGGATCCAGGTCTCAAAGTGGAAGTTTTTTTAAATGCCTGGCATCGTTTCAAGAGAAACCATAACTTGAGTGAAATCACACATGCACGGCTGCAGTCAGTAGTTTTTCTGTAATTGTGTAAATAGATAAAGAGCAGCGACCAAAGCAGAGTGTTGTTTGTGCTGCTCACTCTTCTATCCATTAAAGTTTCTGACGTTGAACTAATACGTTTCACACCATCTCTTGGAACAGTGGAAACACATTTCTCACGTTCTACAGATACTGTCAGTTACGGTGGCCCTAAAGTGTAAATGAGCATTTGAAAAAACTGAATTACATTTGGAAAAAATGGAACGACATTGGGGGCAGCACGGTGGCGCAACTGGTAGAGCTGCTGCCTCTCAGCGAACAGGTCCCTGGTTCAAACCCCGGTCCAGGTGCCTTCTGGGGGGAGTTTGCATGTTCTCTCCGTGCATGCGTGGGTTTTCTCCGGGTACTCCGGTTTCCTCCCACAGACCAAAAACATGCATGTTAGGCTAATTGGTAACTCTAAATTGTCCCTAGGTGTGAGTGAGAGAGTGAATGGTTGTTTGTCTCGTTTGTCTCTATGTGTCCCTGTGATGGACTTGCGACCCGTCCAGGGTGTACCCCGCCCCTCACACAGTGACTGCTGGACATGGGCACCAGCGACCCCCATGACCCAAAATGGAATAAACGGGTAAAGGTAATGGATGGATGGATGATGGATGGATGGAACGACATTGAAAAAACACAATTACATTAAGCCAAACAGGAAGTTTTTGTAGTTTTATGCTGTTAATAAAGTTTTAAAAAAATAATAAAATTCCTGTTTGGCTTAATGTAATTCTTAGGGCCACCGTAGTTGGTCCAAATAAACCAACTTGATTCATCAGTAGCTGTTTTCTTGCTGAAGGCGTGCACGCTTGGCTTGTGCTGTTTAATACATAATCACAGCTTCAGCCTGGCATAAAAAGTACAGCAGATTCAACATCTTTTTTTGCGATCTCATCTCAACAGTGAATGTGATCACAGCATTACTGTGCAAACGTGTAACATTTTTACAATCAACAAAAGAACATCGAATCGTTGACGTGTTCACGTCAGTTTGAGGTACTACAGTATTTTTCGCTGCATAAGTCACGTTATTTTGCATAATTTACATGCCCTGTGACTTATGGGCTGAAGCGACATATTTATGGATTTTTTCCCCATATTTATAAACCAATTTTAGCTGAGATATGAACGTTTTCATTCATTCTAACTGAAAAAAAATGAACACTACCATTTTCAGCCTCTAGATGGCAGCAGAGTAGTAAGACATGCCGTTGTATCATGTAATTGGTAAAAGTGGCTATTAATGTCAAATTCAAAAAAGTTCTAGATAAAAACTGGACTTTATTTATTATACTTTATACTTTATTGTTTTTATCTTGAACTTTTTTGAATTTGCCATGTCCTGGATGACTGAGAATCTCCACCTGCTATTAATGACACAATCAGTTTGCCATAGACTGCCACCTTTATTCTTCTCACTGCTTGGAGCAAACGTCAAACCAGCTTCATTTCGCTGCGCCGCCCCGGCAGAATGCAGCTAATTTGACCATCAAAGTGCATTTATTAAGTAAAAGTTCAACAGAGACACAAGTTTGCTTTAGTTTTGAGCAAACAAATAATTGTTTTAAGGTGTTTATCTTGTTAAATTTTCTCAGCGACTCGTCGAGTGCATGCGTTTACTTCCCCTTATTGGTTTTTGAAACGCAGCTGATTTGACCGTTAAAGTCCTTTTATTAATCAAACGTTAGACTGAGACACACCTTTACTATAATTTCAAGCAAACATATAATTGTTTTAAGGGTTAATCTTGTTAAATTTTTGTTAAAGTCCTCCCTTGCACTTTCCCGCAGCCGCCATTTGGCAGCCAATCAATTTTTGGCACAACACTGGCCCACATTTCCGGGTTCGGCCCACATTTCGGGTTGTCAGTGGTGACAGCGGTGAAGCATAATCGATGCGACGTAGACGGCGAAGCAACATATTTATGGATTTTTTCCACTTTATTAGACATATTTGCACTGATGCGACCTATAGGGCGGTGCAACGTCTACGGCGGGAAGTACGGTACTTTCATTTCTGGGGTGTAACAGTAATTGACAGCCGTGAAATTTCCTAAAGTTCTTTTTCGTCTTTTTCATTTGAATTGTCAAGGTGGAGCAGCAGCTTTCCAGATAGTTATGGCTTGATCACCTTATCACGTGTGCCTGGTATTCAAAAGGATTCTGTGTTTGCTGGCTACTTTTCTTACCCCACAGCTCACATTTCCAACAAAACAAGTTTACTGCAACATTAATGTGTGCTTAAACACAGCAACTTGGTGTTGCAGAATTATCTGAGTATTAATAAAATTCACCTGTCATCTGTCAGACTAGACTTAAGGGATGGCGTGGGGAGCACACCGCTCTAATCATTCACGCTGTTATCGCTGCTGATTCTGCGTCACCACTTCGTTACACACGAGCCCACTGAGCCAGCCATGTTTGCTCTTAGTTAGTTACAAAATGGCAACAATTATTTAAACTGGCAACGTTCAGACACTGTGTGAAAAGGGTTAGTGTTTTTAGCCGGAACAATGTGCTACACATGATGCCTCCTACCCACACTTGGCACTATGACTACCTCCATTGTGCCTCAGATGTGCTGCGAGGTAACCATGCTAACCGTCTGCACCACCGTACAGCCGGTATATTAATGACAGGAATGCTTCAAAATAAATGGCTTTAAATCAATATAAAACAAATTAAGCATTTATTATCTTTATTATAAGTTTAGAATGTCTACATTTCCTGCAAATACCTTCTGAGATTGGCACTATTGAGTCTATACAGTGGTTTATATTCCATCTAAAAAAACTCACTTTTAAAAATGGGCTTGAGTTCAGTTTGAGTCCCATCAGGTCTTATGTTCCATTTATTCCTTGTTTTATTTTTTCTCTTTGTTTTAAACCGACTCTTAAAATATTTTGGTCAGTCTTGTTTTGAAATGAGGTATAGAAATAAACTGACACTGGCATTTTAAGTAGAGATACTTTATAAATGCATTGCATGATTCTGCAAACAGCAAATTATGAAAGGTCAGGTCTGCTGCAGAGCCACAGTCTACGGTAATTTCTCAGCCTCAGAGTGTAATGTGCATCTCCTGTTAAATACACTTTCTGTCTGTTCTTTACCAGCTGCCATCTTCCATTTAAAGTGTCATGCACAGAATGGTAAAACTCTCATACAGTCATTATTCATGTTAGGGTTGTAAAAGAAGGTCTATTTTATTTTGTTTTCTTCTTTTTATATCATAAATGGCTCTAGAAACAACAACAAACATGTTTTAGTTTCGCTGCTGAGGATTTTGTTGTAACTCTTCACTGGTTTGTCTTTAGCTGATCCGAGTCTGTCAGTGGACACAGAAGTTCAGGCCGAAGCTCAGAGTGGAGCTGCACCCACAGCTGAAGGTAGGAAGGAAAGTCATTCTGTTCTTCTTCTTCTTCTTTTAAGAAACGTTTGTGCAGCTGAGTTTAAAACGTCAGAGAATTCACCTTGACTAAAGAAAACCTATTGATGAAACTCGATGTTGTTTTTGTTTTGAGCATTTTTAGATTTACCTCCCATTTGATGCACTTTTGAACACGGAACCATGTTGAGTGTATAAATTAACGAGGCTACGTTGTGTTTGACAAGTTGCTCCTGTGTAGACGGACATGGCATGGTGTCCTTTCAGCTCCACGGGGAGTGTTCTTCACTCTCGTGTGGTCATTCTTGAAATTAACATTTTGACACAAATGCAAAGCTCAATACTTTATCTGGTGTGCGTTTACTTGTTGGAAATGACCACTGAAAGTCAACACTTTTCATCTACTCATCGTGGCATGAATTTCATTGTAATTTGGGCTTTTAATGACCAGTTTGAACCGTTCTTTTTCCAGGGTGGAACGATGATACAGCAGATCAAATATATACATACGGTATCAAAATATTTTATTGAGTGGTGCTGAAGATTCAAGAATGTCGTAACTTGACAAGGCCGAGGCCTATAAACGTCTTTAGTGATCATGAATGGACTGTACGTATACAGAGCCTTTCTATCTTATCCTTTCTATCTGTCCATGACTGCAGCTGGCAGTTTCTCTTTGCCTGCATTAACAAAGATTTAATTGGCAGCACTTTTTAGATTGTCCAGTAAAAAAGAAAGAAAATTGTAGATTTGATTCAGTTGGAGCCATTTCTAAGATTCCAAAATCATCCTTTTGTGTTTTGGATGGTTTAACTTTGCTACGGTCTGGAAGAAGACCCAAACCACCGTCCTCAGATGAAAGAACATTGGTTAAGATGTTCAGGAGCAACCCTGGAACCACCGAAGCTAAAGCTCGCCGTGAACCGACAACTTTGTGAAAGTTTCTTTGTACACTGTCTCTCAGATTTATTGCTTCCATAAAACGTTCAGACCGATGTGTTTACCCTCCTTCAGGTTACTTCTTAGAGTTTCAAGAGCAGGTCAACAACATCACTCACTTCCAAGGCCAGACGGCCACGCTGCACTGCAAAGTTGCAGGAAATCCTCGACCGTCAATTCGCTGGCTGAAGAACGATGCCCCTGTGGTTCAGGAACAGGGACGAATTACCATCCGGAAGACGGAGACGGGATCCAAGCTCCGCATCCAGGACCTGGACACAACGGACACGGGCTATTATCAGTGTGTCGCCTCCAACTCACTGAAGGTCATCTCTGCTACAGGTGTTCTTTACGTCAAACTAGGTACGAGTTCTGCTTTTATTATTTTAGTCAACAATGTATTTTTATCATCTTACACAGAAGTGATGGCTTGGACAAGGAGCGTGTGTTTTTATTTATTCAGTTATGATTTTTCTGGCGTTATTTTGCATCTTCTGCATGTCTGTCAGTAATGTTTAACCCCACACTCTTTAATATGTTGTAAGATGAGTGATTTGTTTTGGATTTACAGGACAGATGCCCACGCATGAACCCGTTGAACCGTAAGTGAATTCCTTAAAATCTATCCATTCATTGCCTGCATCTGTGTGAACATCTGTCTGTCAGTAGAATGACACTAATAATAAAAGTTGAACAGGCTGCTTGCGTGAAGTCAGTTTTATTTCATATTGGTATAAAAACGATTGATTTAATCACGTATTATCAAGTTTAGCTTGCACTGCATCACAGTTTAGATTACATACGTACTGTGCTCATGTATGTATTTCTGTTTGTTAACTGCAGCTGAGGTTAGTCCTCATAAACTGCACTGATGTTCATAATTCAGAGGAAAGCTGAGCTCATAATGGTGCCTTGCACAGACAAAACTAATGATATCCATATGTGCGCTGCTTGCCAACACCATCCAGTACCCTCATCCATCCACAGTGTGTCATCGTTGTCATGTATTGAATCCATTTTGAACCTGTCAGTGTGTTCAACTGGGAAAATATCTGAAGTTTCTCTGCTTGTATGAAACGAGACAGCGCAATATGTTGATTTAATTTAGCACAAATGCATCTGTGTAGACATAGATGAATTATATTTTATCTTTTTATGGTCATAAATTGTCAAACTGTTTGAGTAAATCAGCTGACCAAAACAGATTATTTTTTAATATAAATTATGTAGATATAGTTTCTTCTTTTCCCTTTATTCTAAATAGTACACATCTTTATTGCTTCTTAATCTATAAAGGATGAGCCCTAACCATATCTTCTTAACGGTGGACTTTAATGTGTTTTAGATCGAGTACTAAAGGTTTCTGTCAGCCGTACAGAGGGATCGCCTGCGCCCGATTCATCGGGAACCAGAGCATCTACGTTGAGTCTTTGCAGACGCAGGGAGACAGTGAGAACCAGATCACGGGTGAGCAAATGCACAGACCTCGTTGTAGACTTGTTTTAAATTGCTAAAAATGTTCACATTCATTTTCTTCCCTTCTTGAAGCTGCCTTCACTATGATCGGCACCTCTACCCACCTATCGGATCAATGCTCCAAGTTCGCCATCCCATCCTTCTGCTACTTTGTCTTCCCGTTGTGTGACGAGGGCGCTAAAGGCCCACAGCGCCGGCAGCTCTGTCGAGACGAGTGCGAAGCCCTGGAGAACAACATTTGCTATGCTGAGTACACCATCGCCAGATCCAATCCCATGATCCTCATGCAGCTCGAGCTCCCCAGCTGTCAGCTGCTGCCACCGGCAGGCACACCAGATGCTGCGAGCTGTATTAGGCTGGGAGTGCCAGCAGAAAAACTGGGTCCATGTAAGTCCACATTTATTTATTACTGTAAGAAGTTACTCTAATGAAGTCAGTATTAATGACTCAACAGTGCTGTGGCCGTTTGTCTTCTGCACATTTATTTCGTTTTACTCGTTTTTGCTGTAACAGTTTAGCTCAGCTGCACATTAAAGAAGGCTTCATGGACGAGTGGACAGAAAAAGTCATTGCTTGAAGAAAACAATAAGAGAGACAACTGGACAAGTGAGACTAAAATGAAACATTTTGGCCTTGAAGGATTATGGCATGTCTTTGTGAACCTAACATCTCTCACCAAGCTGAGAACACCATCCTCACAGTAAAGCATGGTGGTGGCAGCATCATGCTGTGGGACAGGGACTGGGGAACTGGTCGGAGTTGAAGGAAAGATGGATAACACAACACACTGAGGAAATAAAATCCTACACACCCCTTGTTAAATGCCAGATCTTTAAGATGTAAAAAATGAAACCATGGTCAATCATTTCAAAGGTTTCCCATCTTTATTGTGACGTAAGTCCTGTAACTGGAAAATATAGGCCTGTCTGTTGCAGGAGGGAAAAAGAAAAGGTACAAAAAGCTGCTTGCAAATCTGTGCACAACCTCATGGTATGCCACTTTTAAGGCACGTTGCTACTGCGCCCATCAGTTTCTGTGACTTCTACAGAACAGCTGTTTTGTATTTTGAAACGTAGCTTGCTATTCACAGTTATGTTACCATCAAAAGAAACAACCCATTCTGTGGCACTGCAGAACCTCTACATAAAACATCGCTAGCATGTTCATAATCCACCTTAGTGCTTGTGTTTTAATAGTTTAAGTGACAACAAAGCTTCCATTAGCTTATTTTTTTCAATCTTTTAAACACAGGCCTCAAATACTTTGAGCTTTTAAAAGGGCAAGTTTTTGGGACGTACAGGAAAAATGATAAATGATAAAAGGACTGTAATTACTGGTATATAGCGCCTTTCTATCTGATCAAGATACTACACAAGAGTATCTATTATCTACTCGTATTAAGAGGATCTATTGTTAAAGAGTATATATTAATGTTTTACTTTTTTGTTTTTGATGTTTAATGAATTTTATTGTGTTAAGTGCATTGGGTGATGTTTAAATCTGATTTAATATTGCTTATATAAACATAATTTCTTTAGTTTTTTTGTAAAAATAAATATCTTAAATCAGTAGTTGGTTAAAACCAGGGCTATTCAACTAAATTGCTCAGGGGGCCACAGTTGGGTGGGCATCCAGCAGTTACTGTCATTAAGTAAGTTTGTTTTATCATTTAAAATCTAGTTTGATTTAAAAATGAACCCATTAGTGGGCCGAACTGAGCACACATGGGACTGATTTGGCCCCTGAGCCGCTAGTTGAATAGCCCTGGCATAAACCCATAGAACAGGGAAATCATGTTTTCTAATAAATAATTGTGTAATTTATAATTTATTTTTCCATACAAAGTTACAAACTCTGCTCTGTAGATTCTCCTTCAGATCACAGCTGCTACAATGGGAGTGGAGCCGACTACAGAGGGACAGTTGCCGTCACCAAGTCTGGAAACCACTGCCAGCCGTGGAGCGCACAGTTTCCTCACAGTCACCATCTGTCCCAGGAGTACCCCGAGCTCTGGGGGAGTCACAACTTCTGCCGTAACCCAGGAGGCCAGATGGAGGCGCCATGGTGTTTCACTCTGAACCCCCAGCTCAGAGCAGACATCTGTGACATCCAGCCTTGCCGTACGTACCACAACACAATGGCTGTGTTTTACGGCAAAAACTAATCCGAGTATTGTTTATGGATGGCACTGGAGCCACAAACAATGATGTGCACAAGTGAGATTACAGCACACAAAGCCTTATTCTCTGCATCGTTCTTTCTAACAACAATTTCCTGCAGGATCAATAGTTCTATCGTGTCTTAACTAATTTGTTTGTTTATGATATATAAACTAACCTAAGGTGATTTCAGATTTTCATATATCCGTCTAAGTTGCTTCCTGTTTGGAGAAGTTAAGTTAATATCCTCTAAAGCTGGAGACATTTTACTAAACTGGCAGCATGGTGCAACACTTGTTGACTTTATTATCACCTCTGTGTCATAAAATCAGCTGCACACAGTGAGATATAAAACTATCTGAGTTAATTATTATTGATGGTTATATATGAACAATAACAAAAACTTCTCCACGATGACAGAAGAAAAACTTCTCCCCTCACTTCTTCTTCTGCACATAGATTAGAGTTTTTAGGTCTTTATTAAAACATTTAGGCTGCAGCTTAGCACATTTCTGGATGTATAATCTGGCCATAGTCAAACTTGATGTAGCAGTTGAAGCTGTTTTTATTAATTATAATTACAAACCGGATTCCAAACAAGTTGGGACACTAAACAAATTGTGAATAAAAACTGAATGCAATGATGTGGAGGTGCCAACATCTAATATTTTATTCAGAATAGAACACAAATCACAGATCAAAAGTTTAAACTGAGAGAATGTATCATTTTAAGGGAAAAATCTGCTGTTTCCAAATTTCATGGCGTCAACAAATCCCAAAAAAGTTGGGACAAGTCCATTTTTACCACTGTGTGGCATCCCCCCTTCTTCTTACAACACTCAACAGACGTCTGGGGACAGAGGAGAGCAGTTTCTCAAGTTTAGAAATAGGAATGCTCTCCCATTCATGTCTAATACAGGCCTCTAACTGTTTGATCGTCTTGGGCCTTCTTTGTCGCACCTTCCTCTTTATGATGCGCCAAATGTTCTCTATAGGTGAAAGATCTGGACTGCAGGCTGGCCATTTCAGTACCCGGATCCTTCTCCTACGTAGCCATGATGTTGTGATTGCTGCAGAATGTGGTCTGGCATTATCGTGTTGAAAAATGCAGGGTCTTCCCTGAAAGAGATGACGTCTAGATGGGAGCATATGTTGTTCTAGAACCTGAACATAGTTCTCTGCATTAATGGTGCCTTTCCAGACAAGCAAGCTGCCCATGCCACAAGCGCTCATGCAACCCCATACCATCAGTGATGCAGGCTTCTGAACGGAGCGTTGATAACAACTTGGGCTATCCTTGTCCTCTCTGGTCCTGATGACATGGCGTCCCAGTGTTCCATAAAGAACTTCAAATCGTGACTCATCTGACCACAGAACAGTCTTCCATTTTGCCACATTCCATTTTAAATGACCCCTGGCCCAGTGCAAACGTCTGAGCTTGTGGAGCTTGCTTAGAAATGGCTTCCTCTTTGCACTGTAGAGTTTCAGCTGGCAACGGCGGATGGCACGGTGGAATGTGTTCACTGACAATGCTTTCTGGAAGTATTCCTGAGCCCATTCTGTTATTTCCTTGACAGTGGCATTCCTGTTTGAGGTGCAGTGACATTTAAGGGCCCGGAGATCACGAGCATCCAGTAGGGTTTTATGGCCTTGTCCCTTACGCACAGCGATTGTTCCAGATTCTCTGAATCTTTTGATGATGTTATGCACGGTTGATGATGATAACTTAAAAGTCTTTGATATTTTATGCTGGGTAACACCATTCTGGTATTGCTGCACTATCTTTCTGCGCAACAATGGTGGAATTGGTGATCCTCTTACCATCTTGGCTTCTGAGAGACACTGACACTCTGAGAAGCTCTTTTTATACCCAATCATCTTGTCAATTGACCTAATTAGTGTTAATTGGTCTTCCAGCTGTTCATTATATGCTCAATTTCCTTTTTCCAGCCACTTATTGCTACTTGTCCCAACTTTTTTGGGATTTGTTGACACTGAAATTTTGAATCAACATATTTTTCCTTTAAAATGTTACATTTACTCAGATTAAACTTTTGATCTGTCATCTATGTTATATTACAAATAAAATATTTACATTTGCCATCTCCACATCACTGCATTCAGTTTTTATTCACAATTTGTTTAGTGTCCCAACATTTTTGGAATCCGGTTTGTACCCAGGGGAAGCCACTCCCTGTCTTTATGGACTCCCAAAAATACACAAAGAAGGAACACCACTCAGACCCATCGTCAGCAGCATGAACTCAGTGACATACAATATTGCTAAACATCTGGCTGGTATTTTAGCTCCTCTTGTTGGAAACGCACCTCATCACATAAAGAACTCCATTGATTTTGCCAACAAAGTTCAACATTTGAAACTAACCCCAGCAGAAACCCTTGAATCGTATGATGTGACTTCTCTTTTCACATGCATACCCATCTCTGAAGCAGTAGAAACCGTCAGAAAACTAATTCTACAAGACAAGGACTTAATCAACAGGACCAACTTCACCCCAGACCAGATCTGCACCCTGTTGGATCTCTGCCTCTCCACCACTTATTTCAAGTTCAATGACAGTTTTTACAGACAGAAGCACGGCTGTGCCATGGGATCTCCAGTCACCCATTGTTGCCAATCTCTACATGGAGGAAGTGAAACAGAAAGCCCTAAACGCCTATGAGGGAACAACGCCAAGCCATTGGTTCCGTTATGTGGATGACACCTGGGTCAAAATCCAAGTCAAGGAAATAGAATCGTTCACCAGACACATTAACTCGGTCGATAACAACATCAAGTTCACCAGAGAGGATGCAAACGACAACAAGCTGTCTTTTTTTGGACTGTTTGGTTCAGATGGAGAGAGAGGACAGCCTCAACATTGAAGTTAATAGAAAACCAACCCACACAGACCAGTATCTTCTGTTTGACTCCCACCATCCACTGGAACACAAACTCTCTGTCATCAGAACTTTACAACATCGGGCCGAATGCGTCCCCACAAGGACAGAAGGGAAGGAAAAGGAACTGAAACACATTCAAGAAGCTCTTCAAACATGTGGATATCCTAACTGGGCTTTTGCCAAGTCAGCGAGGAAATCTACAAAACACAACAATAAACTGAAAAAGGAGAACAACAGACGTAAAAACATTGTCATCCCTTATGTTGCTGGAGTATCAGAGAAATTCAGAAGGATCTTCAACAAACACAAGATCCCAGTACATTTCAAACACAGCAGGACTCTCAGACAGAGGCTGGTCCACCCTAAGGACAAGACACCCATACACAAACAGAGTGGTGTAGTGTATGCGGTCCAGTGCAGCGAGGACTGTCCAGACCTCTACATTGGAGAAACTAAACAGCCTCTTCACAGACGCATGGCTCAACACAGGAGAGCCAGCTCCACAGGACAAGACTCAGCTGTTCACCTCCACCTCACAGATAAGGGGCACTCTTTTGAGGACCAAAATGTGCACATTTTGGACCGAGAACACAGATGGTTTGAGAGGGGGGTGAAGGAAGCAATTTATGTAAAAAGAGAAAAGCCGTCTCTTAACAGAGGAGGAGGCCTCAGATTTCCACTTTCAAAAACATATAATGCAACTTTAAAACTGATTCCCAGCCGGTTTTCACACCTGATGGGAACAGAGGGGCCTCGTCTGTGAATTAGAGGAACAAAGACCTTAAGAAACCCCTACTGTTAAGGTGTTGAGGTGTGAATTGTCAAATCTACATATGTGTGTGTTTCTTATCTCACTCAGCCTTATAACCTGAATCTCTCACTCTGCTCTTTGAATTGAGAAAGCTCCTCGGAGGAGGAGCGAAACGTCTTCTGTTACAAATAAAGTCCAGTTGTTTTTGTATTGAACGTTTTTTTAATTCATCCCTAAGATAGGATGTCTTTCATCTTTACCAAGTGAAATGACATAGATAAAATAGACAATGAGCAAATAACAAAGAAAAGCCTAATGCTTTATTATCTGTGCCTCTCTATCAACAGTGCCTCCAGAGAGCCCAAAGAAGGAGATCTTGTTTATTCTAATCCCTGCCGTTTCCATTCCACTGGTCATTGCTGGCTTCTTTTATCTGGTTTGCAAGTGTCGAAATAAACAAAAGGCTTCAACGGGGACACCGCCTCGCTGTCAGACCAACATCTCACCCAGCCAGGACATGGAGCTGTCTCTCCTCAATCAGCATAAGCATCAGGTAGCAACAAAAACTCATGCGATATCTATAGAACTCACTTATATTTTTATGGGGGTGTTCAAAATGAGCGTAATGTTTAATTAAAACCTGCACATTTCATTTGAGAGGGTTCTGTTCCAATCAAAGGTTTAACGTAAAATTCACTGAGGCATTTGCACCAAAAAAAAAAAAAATTTAAAGAAATGTTACTTTATGCATTTAAAAAGCTTTTTTAATTATTATTGTTATGGTGCAGACATCATCATGACATCTGTAATTTTGTTTAGGTCTATGCTCTTTTCATTGTATAAACTGTAAATTAGCACACAGTTGCAACATGAGTTTTTGGGGGATCTTTGAAATTTGTGCTGTTCCTACTTGTAGATAACTAAGTAATATTTATAAAAACAAATGTGACATTTTAATGTTTTTTTATTGCAGTTATACACTTTGATGATATGTATCCATTCCTCTATAGCCGCCAGCCAAGCTCCGGGAGATCCACCTGTCAGCAGTGAGATTTATGGAGGGACTTGGTGAAGATCGGTATGGTACGGTCTACAAGGGGCATCTATATGGCACAGCTCCTGGTGATCAGTCCCAACTAGTAGCCATCAAGACCCTAAAGGACAAAGCTGATGCTACTCTGTTTGAGGAGTTCCGTCAAGAAACCATGGTTCGCTCTCAACTGCAACACCAAAATGTTGTTAGCTTGATCGGTTTGGTCACCAAAGAACAGCCAAACAGCATGATATTTACCTATTCCAGTCTTGGTGACCTGCATGAGTTCCTCGTGATGCGCTCCCCCAACTCGGATGTGGGCAGTTCAGACGATGGTAAAACAACTAAATCCACTCTAGAACAGGCGGATTTTCTCCATATTATCACTCAGATTGCTGCTGGGATGGAGTACCTTTCTAGTAACCAAGTGGTCCACAAAGACCTCGCAGCTCGAAATATTCTGGTATTTGACAAACTCAATGTCAAGGTTTTGGATCTGGGTCTATTCAGAGATGTTTACTCTGCTGATTACTACAATCTCATGGGAACAAGCCCCTTTCCCATTCGCTGGATGTCTCCAGAGGCCATTATGTACGGAAAGTTCTCCACCGATTCTGACATCTGGTCTTATGGCGTGTTGCTGTGGGAGACATTCAGCTACGGTCTTCAGCCGTACTGTGGCTACTCCAACCAGGATGTGATTGAGATGGTGCGCAGCCACCAGCTATTGCTGTGCCCAGACGACTGCCCAGCTTGGATTTTCACCCTCATGTTGGAGTGCTGGAACGAGCTGCCAGCAAGGAGGCCTCGCTTCAAAGATATTCATTCACGTCTGCGCTCCTGGGACAATCTGTCTATTTACAATAGCCCTGCCCAGACATCTGGGACCAGCAACACTACCCAAACCAGTTCTCTCAGCACCAGCCCTGTTAGCAACATTAGCATGAGCATGACAAACGCATCGAGGTACACCAGCCCCAAAAAGAGCTCGCCATTCAATCAACCCCAGTTTATGTCAGTAAAGGGTCAAATGCACCGGCCAATAATGTCTCCACAGCTCTTCATCCCTGTCAACGGATACCATCCTTTACCAGCTTACCCATACCTGCAGAACTATTACCCCATGCAAATACCAGTGGCAATGCCCCAGCAGCAGATCCACCACCCACCACAAGTTACCAAAGCTGGTTCCCACCACAGTGGCAGTGGATCCACATCTACAGGTTACGTCACCACCCTCCCTTCCAACACCTCTGCCACAGAGCGATCTGCGTTGCTAAACGAAGACTCCAGAGCCGACCACAAAGACTCGGCTGGCAGAGCATCCCAGGAAGAGCCAGTTCAAAATAAAAGCTTTTCAGTGACTGAAACAGAACTGCTTGGTGACAACGAGAGTCCTCAAACAGACGAACAGATAATCAAATCATCGGACACATGAGCGTGGAGCTGTTTGGACAGTGGAGCTGAGCTTTTCTGAAAACTGCTTGTCAGATCAGCAAAAGATGAAGAGACCAATTTAGCAGAAGACTTTTGAATGTTTTTATATTTCTGATAATACTGATGCACTTCACTGTCAAGTATGTTGTGTTTTTACCTTTTAGTCCTGTTTTAATTGATATGTTTTAAAAGCTGTTTTTTAAAAGTGTTACTGAGTTTGTTTTTTTTAAAGCACAGCAGAGGTTGCTTTGATAGATTCTAACTTTTGACTGCTCATAATGTCAGCTGGTGATTTTCACCATTCATTACGGTACAGAAAGGTTGGAAACCATTCACCCAATACTTTGTTTTTTTGTGTGTTTGTATGTGCATGTCATATTTTTCTGAGCATGTTGACCTTTTTAATAGAGGATCGTTTAAACAGATACTGTGTGCATATAATAAAACCACACGTTAGCTCACAAATGAGTTTTCTTCACTGTGGAATGAGTGTTTTATTTACCTTTTACCCCTTTATTGAATTTAGTTGTTCTGATAATAAGTTTGATGTGTAAATACCAGATAAATGCAAACTCGAATAAAAAGTGGATGATGACAAACGTATGAAACGGGCAACTTTGTTCATAACGACACTCAGACATGTATTTCAAAACTTCCTTTTAAGCTAGGATGTAATCATTCGATGTGTTTTTATAACTGATTAACTTTTGAGGTCAAACCATTTTAAGATGACCGCTGTAGCCAACAGACGTTTGAAAACAAAAATGGTCACAACTTGGTCGATTTTCCAGAGACTGGGATAAAATTTGGTGTGGTGGTAGCTGAGAGTCATACCGAACATATACTCCCAAGTGCTACAATACAAGATATTTGACTCAATTGTTGGCATTAACTTTCAGCGTTAACTCTTTAAGATAGCCGCCACATTAACTCAGCCTAAGTCAACACAATTGATTTTCATGTAAATAAATGTTTTATTACTGTATTTCAAAGTGAAAATCATATATGAAAGGAAGTATGCACAAAAAGTCCAAGTGTTTGGTCTTTTTCTTTGTCCTAACTTGCTAAACAACTGATAATTTGTACCACTTTGACGTTCTTTGATTTCCATTTATTTTTCAGTATTTTGGAGCTCTGGATTTGAATTTATCTAGTTGGAATAAAAGGCCGACATAGCTTTTTTTGTTGTTTTTGTTTTGTAAAAGTTGCAGACCACTGTTCGAGTGTCTAGGTACTGTATAACCTGTAACTCATTCACAGCTAGAACAATAACAACCAAACAATGGTTGTCTTGTCTATTCCTTTCACTAGTGCAGACGTTAAAGTATCGATTTAATATTCTTTCCCTTGTTGACAATTGTAAATTGTAACTAATTGTAATTATAACCCAGCCAGTCGAAGCAGATGGCCGCTTGTCCTGAGCCTGGGTCTGCTAAAGGTTTCTTCCTCATGAGTTTTTCCTTTCCACTGTTGCCTTGATGTTTGCTCAAGATGAGAGTCAGTGATTGAGTTAAACTCAAAGCAGTCTGCTCCTCAGATAATTAATGTTATTAACTTACTTTTCATGTACTGTATATGAATGTTTCTTTTCATTGCCCTGAGATGACTTCGGTTGTGACTTGGCGCTATATAAATACACTGAACTGAAGTGAATTAAATCCAGTATTATCAGTGGCAGAAATTAAAGCTGTTTACCCTGTGATGGAACAGTTGTGATTGTTTACCCACCACTGGGCGCACACTGCCCAGCTGTTGTTTGCTGCAGAGAAGCAACGTGCAAAATGTGTTCTCTATGTAGGCCCATGTGAAAATATTTCCAGTAGATTTATAATACATGTCAAATTATTGAAAAGTGGCAAAATACAATATTCAAAAAAAAATTTCTATAACTTTCAAAATAGATATGCATAGGAATAACATTGTTCTGTTCATACGTGGAACTTTGACACAAGTAAATTATTTTAATTTTTAAACACTCCAACCTGTGTTTTCTGTATAGGAATGGAAACGATCAAATTCATATGAAAGAACCATAATTTCTGACAGAACTAAGTTTGTTTGTTTGTTTTTTTCTGACAGAAGTGAAAAAGGCCCGTACAAATGTGACGACGTCGTTTTGAAATCAGATTCAAAATTCCTCATCCAGTGACTTTGATCCACGTTCATTGGATGGTTTGGGCAATGCTGCGCTCCCATTGGCTGATATGGCTGTCAGTCAAAGTTACGCTGCCAGTATATTTCAAGCAGATTTCAAGTAGGTATCTCTGCAGGCAAATTCGGAAGGCGTATCTGGGCGGTTGGACTATATGAAAATGAGCGTGTCTGGTCGGCCGCATCTGATTGGACAATAGAAAAAATTGGCGTCTGGCCGGCCACATTTGATTGGACGATAGAAAAATAGGCGTGTCTGGCCGGCCACATCTGATTGGACGATAGAAAAAAAGGCTGAACGATAAAATGCCGTAACCACTGACACATGTCTAAAAACAAGGCGTTATTGGCAGATTGTGTTAACCACAGGCATATTATGTCTATGGTGTTAACCGGTTCGACATTAGCGGCGTCTCGGTTCGACATTGCTCCAGTATACTGCCGCGGCGTCTCCATAACGTCTTTTTCCGGCTCTCTTAACACAAAACTTCCGGTTACATTTCAAAATAAGAGCAACATAACTGGGTAGTGGGGAGAGCTAAATGTTAGGTTTTTTTTTTTTTTAAATACCAAGCCGTAACATTAAAAAACAAATTCCATTTTGGTTGTTGAAAAATGTGAACAAAGTTACAATCGATTTATAAAGAAAGAAAAATATAAATTATACTTTAACTGGCCTTGGGACAAAGGAGGTTTCCTTTAACTTCACATTTTCTTATTCAACCTGCAGTCACTACAGATGAGTGATTGTCAGTTTCTGTAAGATTTCTGCAACTGGAGCAGGTATTTCTGTTTACTGGTTAACTTCCTCAGCTGTCTCACATTTTAAAGGTCAACCCTACTCCATGTTTCAGTAGAAAACCAGCACATTTAGGAGTCAGTACATAACCAGACTTTTGGCCCTCACACCTATACCCAGTTGCTCATGCTGCATGATGAGATCAGATTTATCCACATTTTAGAAATTACATTTAGCTTAGTCGACAAAACAATACAAATGAAGACCGTCTTAAAAAACCTCTTGGTTTTGCAGTAAGCAGCCTGATTTCAAACTGACATCTTGGCCAAAGGTAAAATAAAAATCTTTGTGTTCTCAGAAAAGTTGTTTCAGGACCTCCAATAAACTTATGTACACATCAAAGCACACAAGACAGATTCAGGAATTCTCTTTGTTTTCCAGATTTCACATTTTTTTATTACCTTAAAACATACTCAGACAACATTTGATGCATCATTGATTTTTTTTTTTTATTGTGTTTATTGGGACATCCATTTTTAGAAGTCATCGTAGCATCTGTTGGAAACACAAAACATAGTACAGTTAGGGTGTTGCTAGTTGTTACTTATTGTAATGTGTGGGCATCACAGTACAGAAGCTGGACTACTAACCCTGCATCCATGGCACAGAAGTGGGTGCAGTACCCAGGAGTAATGGCTTCACTGTGGAAGGCCCTCAGCTCGCCTCTTTTGACACTGCCCCAGAAACCTGCACAGTCTTTAAATTCTTCTCCACAGCTGAAGCAGACAGAAATGACATAAGGCTTTCTGTGCTGAGCCTGAAATTCTTCAGAATATTTCCTCCAGTTCACAACACCTGAAGTTGTAATAAAAATATGATTAGATCACCAAGCACAACATTTTTACAAAATAGCAGTTCTACACAGCCTGGGCTGTTTCCCCCCAATCTATTCAAAATGAACACCAAAAGTTAATTTTGATATTTTTTTCACAAGGAAAAAAAAAGTTGATTTCCTAAAGTTTAACTATAAATGAAGGAATTTGTGCATTCAGGTAAATGAAAATTAAGTAATTTCTCTAACATCCAACCCATTTTAGCCACTGAGCCATACCAAACACTCATAATCTATTGTTGAATGAATTATTGACTATTATTGACAAATTACAGACTTATTATTGAATAAGTTATTACTCATTATTGAATCATTGACGAATTACACTCATGTTCGTGTTAACTCATGTTGCAACAAAGTCAGCAACTTTTGACTATTACTATGAACTATGTTAAACTTTGGAGGTGATTTATTTTGAAAGTCAACATCAGATGTTGGTCAAAGTTTTTGAGCAACATCTTGAGGTCTTCTAGAGTCAGCCTGAAGTGAGAGTGGTTCCTGACATGGCAGAAAGACAGATATAATTAACAGCTTTTATTTATTTATTTTTCAAGTATTAAGAACTTTTATTTTCAGCTTTTATTTTTGAAAAGCACCACCCAGTTGTAAACGTGCACAGTGAGGGCTGCCGGAGCCGAGTGGAGGCTCACTTTACCTCAGTGTGTTACCTGCATGGAAACTCCCACCATGTTTTCACATGAGCTAAACTTCTAAAGCACGACAACAACGAGAGAACGGTCGAAACTATCGTGACCTACAATAAACGTACTTCAATAATATGCATAAGTGAAAACATAACATAATTTATAAGTACAATAAATCATATTTCTTTGTCAAACATCGCAAAGAAACGTTACCTTATCAATAATCCTCGTGACTTTGAGGGTTACCCATGGCCAATCAATGTTCGCCGCTCACAAACGCCTATTAAATACTGTTAGCCAATCAGTGTTCGCCGCCCAATACTGTTAGCCAATCAGTGTTCGCCGCCCAATACTGTTAGCCAATCAGTGTTCGCCGCCCACAAACGCCTATTCGCCAGAAACGCCCACTTTTGGTCTGCAGAGAACCCCTTCTCGTACATTTTATCGCTGACCTACTGACACAGATCCATGAGTCAGTAGTCACTTTGAGAGGAAGAAATCCAGGGAAGAACAATTTGTAGGAGTGTTCACTTCTCATGTCTTCAGACTGATACATTACAGCAGTTTTAATGCTTTATTCGGGGTGGATGTCAAGACCAGAGTAATCTATCAGATGATAAAAGGTACGATTTCATTTAATTGTTAACATTTGATTATTTTTATGCATGAGTTACATGCGTGGTATAATGCCACGTAGTTAGCGTGCATCATTTATATGTCTAAACTCATAACTACATGAAAGTACTTCATTATTTCCGTTTTCACTTGAGATGTGTAAAGCATATTTTCACGATAATTATATAATCCCGGGTGCTGTCGCTCATACGGTTTTGGATTATAGTTCGCTGCTGTGTAGAATAAACTGGGCTAGCGCCTGTCGGAAAAAAAATAATTTTATTCAGGCACGTTGCTTGATGCGAGTTCACGGGTTTGGTGGACAGTTTTATTTTAAAAAAAAATATGTGATGTATTAAAACGAGTCGGCGATTTACGAACCAGTAAAAAACGCTGCTGGTAAATAATATATTTTAGTGTTGTTTTTATAGTTTGCTCTTACATAGCGGCTATTTACTTTTTAGGGTGTAAAAAGGACCCCGCGCACGAGCCGCTAGTGTCATGAGTAAGCAGCTATGATGAGGTCATGTTTAAACTGTAAATGCTCTCATTGTCTTCAACAAGCCGATACATGTCTCTCTGCTCGTTATGAGATATTTTACTTAGAGAACGGAACCGCCAATGGTCCACTTTGTTGTTGCCACATCGCAATTATTGCATAATGATGACTGCAGCGAGATAAATTACCGGCAGAGAGGAGGAGGGGGCGGTGTCGTTGTGTAATCCGGATATAAAGGGGAATCTGGGACGTGATGACGGTCTCTCTGCCAAAGGACACCGGTTTGTCCGTATACGGAACCGGGCCCAACTGTTGCACATTAAGTGGTAATATCCCCACCACCTATATTTAGTCACGCGCGGTCCAGATTCAGTGATGATGTCATGTGTTGCATCCCTGCGAAATACAAAAAGGGAATGGTCGCATGACGCAAGGTGGCTGCGTTTGTTGCGTCCTGGTAAATAAAACGAAAGACACCAGTTTGCGATGGTGGGAGCCTCTGAGGCTGAAACATGTTGGGAGTTCTTGCAGTGGATTTGAGGCATGTTATCCTTGAAGTCCGGGGTCTGAAAGCTGCGGCTCCGGGGCCACATGCGGCCCCTTTCATGCAACCTTGAGGACACATTGACACGAGAGACCTGTTGGTCTCTCTTTGTAGCCTTGACCAAAACCAACATATAAAAGATGAATATTTAAATTTATAACCAACATAGAAAAGTAATGAAAATATATAACAAGCTGTTCTGATAGCACCAAGAAAATGGCTTAGGAAAAAAACTAAATAAAACCATCCATTATCCTTTATCCACTTCTTCCTTTTTGGGGTCATGGGGTCATGGCGTCACTGGCGCTCAAGTCCAGCTATCGCTGTGCGAGAGGCGGGGGACACCCTGGACAGGTCTCCAGTCCATCACAGAGACAACCATTCACACTCTCACTCACCTAGAGACAATAGAGTTACCAATCAGTCTAACATGCATGTTTTTGGTCTGTGGATGAAAAACCACACGTGCACAGAGAGAACATGCAAACCCAGAAAGGTCCTGGGCCAGGATATGAACCGGCAACCTTCTCGCTGAGAGGCCACACCAGCTGAGCCACCGTGCTGCCCTAGTGAATAAAACATTAAAGTCATGATGCCTTTATTGGAGGGAATTTATGAAATCACAATATAACATTTCACAAACTGTTTTAATATTTCAACGTATGAATACATGACATTTATATAATGCACTTTGCATGTTTACACAATATAAATGTTATTTTTACATTCTGAAACTGTACCAGTAATGCACAATTATATGCATTTTATATTGTGATGCATGCCTAATTAAGCTAATTTCATATTTTTAGATGTTTTTCTTTATTTCAGTCTAATTTGTGTTTATTTCAGTTGTGTGAAGGTAAGATGACACCAAATGTCTTGAATCTCTTTTCATTTTCCACAAACATAGAAAAGACCTGCATATGTCAGACTATAGATTTTACAGAAGGGGCTCCACTCCAGAGTTTATTTTTTAGAGTTTTGTCTTTCTTTGTTGTAACATGTAAAAAATATGAATAACTCTCAACGTTTTTTCTGTGCATATGATCTGTAGTGAGTCTGTTCTGACTCATGCATTTAAGTGGGAGGAAAACATGAAACTAATCAAAATCTAAGCGCTGCAGTTAAATTCTCTGGATTTTGTCACTGAAAGCTACGAATTATGAGTTCATTACACCTGAAACATTTTGAATCAGGAAGCAACATCTAGTTTGAGCTACTGAACATATAGATGCACAATCAAGCTTCAGGTTAAAGTAAAGTTATGACATGATGATCCTGCATAAAACAAATAAACTTAAGGGAAATGCTTTGATGGGTAAGTTTCACTATTTTCTAGAAGTCCCTCGCCTCTCCATGTGTGGGATGTTTTCCTGACTAAATCATACACTTTTCAGTAGGGATGCATGATAATATCGACATGGTATCGTATTGGCCAATATTAGCGATAAAGTTAAATACGGGCCATTCCATCAAAATAAAGCACTGATTTAAAAGGCTTCTGTTTTAAGATCATTTTTAATTTAAGAGACTGTCACGTTTATCTATTAATGCACTACTTCTTATGCCCTTTTCATTTGTCGCTTGTGAACAGATTGAGTTTAGATTTGTGAAAATTTACAAATGAGCACCGTTCAAGTGTTGTCATTGTGTTAGAGAGAGTAAATGTCATGAATAAATTTGACATTAAAACAAAAAAGTTCAATGCAGAAACAACTGGACTTTATTTGTAACGGAAGACGTTTCGCTTCTCATCCGAGAAGCTTTCTCAATTCAAAGAACAATAAGTGTGGGGATCAGGTTATAAAGCTGAGGTAAGATACATACATACATATGCAGATTGACCTATCACACCTTACAGTAGGGGTTTGTTAAGGTCTTTCTTTGTTAATCTACTGTGGTCACATGGATGACATTCCTGATGGGTGTGAAGCTGGCTGGGTATCAGTCTTAAAGCTGGATTATAAGTTTTTGAAAGTTGAAATCTGAAACCTCCTCTATTTAAAGATAGTTTCTCTCTTTTTACATAAATTGCTTCCTTCACTCCCCTCTCAAAACATCGGTCTTCTCTGTCCAAAATGTGAATATTTTGGTCCTCAGATGAGTGTCCCTTATCCTTGAGTTGGAGGTGAACAGCTGAGTCTTGTCCTGAGGAGCTGGCTCTCCTGTGTTGAGCCATGCGTCTGTGAAGTAACCGTTTGGTTTCTCCAATATAGAGATCTGGACATTCCTCATTGCACTGAACTGCATACAACTTTCAAAAACTTATAATGCAGCTACCTATCAGGAAGGTCTTCCATGTGACCAGAGTGGCCCGTGAATTAGATTAACAAAAACCTTAACAAATCCCTACTATAAGGTGTGATAGGTCAGTCTGCATATGTATGTATGTATCTTACCTCGGCTTTATGACTTGAACCCCACACTCGCTGCTCTTTGAATTGAAAAAGCTTCTCGGATGAGAAGCGAAACGTCTTCTGTTACAAATGAAGTCCAGTTGTTTTTGTCTTGAACTTTTTTGAATATACCATGTCCTGGATGACTGAGAATCTTCACCAGAGCATTAAACATAATCCAAGTTGAAGTGTTGCATAATTTTCAGCCACTTTTTTAGCATCTGCATTTTAGTAGCAGGACAAACTGACAAAGACCATGCAGAATAATGTAGTATTTTACTTCCACAGCAGAGAAAGCTATGTAGTCTCTGTAAGTAGATCTAGAAGAAAAATATCGGTATTGTATCGGTTATCGGACAAATAAGTTTTAACGTATCAGATATCGGTCAAAAATCCAATATCATGCATCCCTACTTTTCAGGTGTTGATTTCTGTTGATTCACAGTTCTTACTGTGCTGTTATGTTTAAATGTATATTTTAAACACTCCTACATTCTGTTAGTTATTTGAGGCTTTTTAAGTCTTTCGTTACACTACGATTTGCTGATACCACAGATTGACTAAACAGGAACTGTTGACCCATGTTGACACCATACAACATACAGACTTAATGACTTCATTGTTTGACCTTCTCACTGGTATGTGAACTGTTTTCTTCCTTTCTATTCACAGACCTGTTCACCTGAAATGGATTGATTCATCTTGGGAGTTGTTGCTCGTGCACTGGTGCTTTTTAACGACTTCAGAACACTCTGAATGTAGCAAACGTCAACAATATGCAATCAATCAAGCAAGAACTTGACTCTGGTGAACTCTACAGTGGAGAGGATGCCCTTGCCGTGGCCTTACAAGAGCCTAACATGGATTTATCAGGTAACGGCATTTCCGTGGTTCCCGTCAAGGGTAAATCTGCATGTCGCCGGAAACGGGAGTTTATCCCAGAGGAGAAGAAAGACGTGGTTTACTGGGAGAGACGGCGTAAAAATAACGAGGCCGCCAAGCGCTCCAGAGAAAAGCGACGCATAAACGACATGGTGCTTGAGAACAAGCTGATGGCTCTTGGAGAAGAAAACACCTCCTTAAGGGCAGAACTGCTGTCACTGAAGCTGAAGTTTGGCCTGGTGAGCTCAGCAGCATATGCTCAAGAAGTCCAGAAGCTGTGTAGCACCCCCACTGTTAGCTGCCATCAGGATTTTATTCCACCGAGTACTGAGCACAGTTCAGTCAAGAGCGATCTGGAGCCCTTACAGCTTCGCAGCAGCTGCATATCAGTCATCAAACACTCGCCTTGTACAGCTGAAACATGTGCTGCAACTCAGGACAGCTTTGCTCTCTGTAGGACAGCAGATGTCAAGCAGGAACCTGCAGAAACTGGCAGCAGTGCACAGAAAAGGGGTAGTCCATATGAGCTAATGGGCCGTTTGTCTGACATGTACTGTCGGCCCACGTCATTCATGCAGGTCACCAGGTCATCCAGTAACTCGCCCAGTAGCTCGTTTGATGGTGTCGTAAGCAAATCATCTGATGGTGAAGACGAGCAGCAGGTTCCAAAGTGGTTGTTGCCGTTTGCAGCCGACTCGAGAAGCGTCATCGTTACCACACACAAAGTGCCGGATGCCAGTTCTTCAGCTCTGCCCCATAAACTGCGGATCAAATCAAAAGCCGTCCAAATCAAGGCGGAGGCCACTGACGCCGAGTACGAGTCGTCTGGAAAGTCGTCGTCTCCCGTCACCGTTTCCGAGGCAGAAAGCTTTCAGGCGGTGCTCGACTCAGAGTATATGCAGCACTCCCACTGCGCTTTGTCAGTGCAGGTGAGCAGTCTGCAGGACTGGAGCCGCCAGGCTCCAAGCAGCGTGGCCGCAGGGTGGCTCTCAGAGTAGCACGCAAACCACGAGTCAATCAAACTGTCTTAGATCTTAAAGAAACTTTCTATGCACACTCAGACGCTGAGGACACATCCATCGATGGAGCGTGAAAAGTGGCCTCGTAAAATAAAAACGGAGCAGAGTCAACCCAAAGCACCTCTGATGGTCATGATGTGAATAATTGAGGATTTTCACTGTACTTCCTGTGTTCACACTCAAGTTAAACAGGCTTCGCTTCAAACGTGGTTTTAAATTATTGTCGGAGTCCCAAACAAAAGTGTCTGCGAAGAAAAGAGGCTGTTTGCTGAACCACTGTACTGTAAATGATTGATTTCAGCAAAATGCACTAACTTTACTAAAGCCACGCACCACTTGATTCTTCAGTTTCTGCTGAGGTCAGCTGTTCTGGGCAGTTCCTTTAAAATGAGTTTGAGTCTGCTGAATTAATGGTGATCAGTTTTGACAAATCTAGCAATAAACGTCACATTTTTAAAGTAATACGCGTGGACATAAGCATTTCATAGACTTGATCTACGACACAAAACAAACGGTCTGGAGTTAACTGGTAATGGTAGACATCCTGTAACTAAAAACCCAGCAGGGTGATCAGCATGAAACTGATCAAATTGAAACGAGGCATGAAAAAGATGTGGACTTTTAGTTTTGTTTTAGCAAAAACGAAGACGAGGGAAAATTCCTCCAAATCCGTTTCAGATCCAAGCCCGATTCTTTAAAAGGAGCCGAGTAAGGGACTGTCGAGTATTTACTGTACTTTATTAATGACATGTTAGATGGTGTGTGTTTTTACTTTTATCTGTTTTGTTGGCTAAAGTTTTCGTTCCTGATGTCACTGTGGTTGATCTTGCCACGCCTGCTGTCATTGATAATTACTCTGTTTGTAGTGGAACTGTAAAAGGACCGCTCCTCCCTGTCCTGCACATACAGTACGCGTGTTCCTGCCACAATTTGCCTTAAAGTGAAGATTCCTGACCAACATGTCGGCATTTCCTGTGACAACTATGAATGAACTGTTTTTCAGTAAAGGACACTTTTCCTTAAAGGTCATTCCAGACTTTGTTAGAGTCAATATCAAGAAACATGAGTGAGAAGATCAAAGAGCCCCTAGAAGAAGGCCGTCCATGTCCTGGTTAACATTTAATCCACTTAACGTCAACCCCTGAAGAAAAGTGCTAGAACTTTTTGACATAGCATCTTTTCATTATTTGGCATAAACGAGTTCACAAGCCACAGTTGTCGCTAGTCGTGTTTGCCTTTCCAATCCTCGTCTCTAATGGTTAAACCAATAACTCCCCAGGCTTGGTTGAGCTTCATTAATGGCTACTGCCAACAACAATGTCATTAGTGACGTTTTAAGACCCTTCTAGTTTAGTGTTTCAGTTCTTTCAACCACAGTCCATATAATGCACACATCACGCTACATCACTGTGGTGCTCAGTTCAGAAGCATCTGACTGTGTGCTGGACGGAACGAGTCCAGGTTTTAACAAATGATGCAGCCTTACCGGCCAAAGTCAGCGTGACTTTGTAAAGAAAATAAAGGATCTCGCTAATCCAGTTTGTGTATGTAACTGGAGCTGCGGGTTCCAGTTCAGCAGTACTGACCTCCCGAGAGAGCAAGTGAAGTAGTCACACCTCCAACAATGTAAGAATTAGGAGCGATGTCATCTGTTAGAGCAGACAATGTGAGACAGTGGTGACCCGATGGCATCGATCGTAAAGAGGGGGCACCGAGGCATGTTTTTGTTGGGCCCAGCTATGGTACGGTGGGCTCAATGTGGGATCTGACATCACAGGAAACTGTGCCAGTACCAACCAAAAGATCTGTGCACCCTCTTTAAAATCTCCCCGAAACATTCCCAATATTTATTTACATAAAAACAAAACATTTCAATATACAGTAACTCTGCCCAAATATATATATGTATATCAGTGTGCATATATATACACACATACATACATTTGGTGATACCCCTTACAGTTTCCTCACTTGACCCAGAAAAAGTAGCTAAAACAACTCTGCTTTGGTTCCAGAGTATAAAATAAAATTGTCTATGCATGATTAAAGCTGTTGTGTCATTGTTTTGAGTCCACATGGAAACACCAACAATAAAGTCCTGAAAATTCTCACGTTTTCTCACTGAAAGCCGTTTCTGTGTAGACGGGGGCACAGCAGAAAATCCTCATCGTCAGAAATATATGGTGTATCCATGGGGCCTCAGTGTTTTATAATACTAATATTACTTAATATTAGTATTGTAAATGGAAAATGTATTCAACCAAATCATGCATCTGAAATGAAATGCATTTTGCATCACAGCTGGAGTGCCGTTACTGATGGCTAATCTTTGCCCAGGATACTTGTTGTACTGGTGAGTTTTTGTTTACAATAAATGTCTTGTCACTGAACTGTGTATTTCTTGTAGTTTTTATACTATTACATTCAAAACACAGTTACTGCAAATAAACACAGCATGCTTTACAGAATTTAAATAGACTCGGAGACACATTTACATGGAAATATAGGATAAATAACCAAATATCTGCGGGACCAAAACACAGCGAGCATAGTTGGAAAAATTGATCAATGTTCTGCTCGGCAAAGCAACAAGCAAGCTCTGCTTCCAAACTGACTCCCACTGCACAGGAACACAAAGAAAAGAAAATTTGCCAATTAAATTGAAACCTTAAAAAACATAGAAATTAAAATTTAGGCATGTAAATGACTAAATGCATTATTGAAAAATCAATAATAATATTACACTCATTAATGAGCTGAGGTGAAATTTAACTCAATATCTATAAAACCAGTGATTTAGAGGAATTTCTCTGTGGTTGATGTTAATTAGCTGCGGTGGCCATCTTGAATTGGGGTGCCTCCAATAGTCAGATGTAGACATGCACCCAGTGATTATTTTCTGATGGTTTCATTGAAATCTGTTCACTGGTTCATGAAATATTTTGCTAACACTACTGCGAAATGAACATAGACACAGGCAAAAACGTATATAAAAAATAAATTGTGACATACTACAAAAAAAGGTAATATATATATACTTGGAATTATAATTTTCTAAATAAAAATGTAGTAAACTTTTATAAATATGAATTTATTTTTGGCAAATTACTGAAGAAACTTGCTGTCGAATAATTATAATCAAACTGATGATTTCAGCTGAGAAAAAAAAAAGAGAGATTAGGTCATTTGCAAAAGTTTCACTAGATTTAATCCATCTATCTTCACATTCATCTTCCTTTCCAGGTCTCTGTGCCCAAAGGTGAAACTCCCTCATACAGAATGACCACTGGTCTGGGTCTGGGTTCCTCCTTTTCACCTGATGCTGACTGGAGTCCTGTTTGGGTTTCTTCTCTGCTTCAGGAAGGCCCAGTTAGGATATCCACATTGCTCTAGAGCCTGTCTTGTGTGGGATTTCTCCTTCTGCCTGGCTCCTGAGTTAGTGGGGACTGTCTGCTCTGTGGTACGAAGCACAAGCACTCAGGAACAATAAGGACTAGGGGTGACCCGATAAATCGGCTCTGATTTCCTTAAATTTGGGAAATCGGCCAATACTTGCACGAGAAACCGATTTTACCGATTTTTTTAGTTTTAACACCAAGTGTCTAAACTTCATTTATATTTCAGCGCACTACCTCACGGCCAGTTGAAACAAGTTTGTATTGTTTCTAGGAAATTGTTCAAGGGTCTGTTTTTCAATAAAATAATATTGGAAAATTGAAGGTGCATTGTGACCTTATAACACCTGACTGTGTCGCTTATAAAACAAAATCAGTATCCGACAAAATCGCAATCAGCAGGTCAGACATTTTAGAAATCGGTGCGCCTGTAAGGACTCAACCCGGTCAGATTATCAGTAAATAGTTTCACGTCAAAGCTTTGTTCCAGTGACTCCTGAACATCTTTGGTACCAGTACTGGTCCTCCAAAAGGTGTGAAACAACAAACCCCCCCATTGGGGGTGGGGGGTGTCCCTGAATGAAATCTTGCTTAGGGCTGCTCACAACCTTGGACCTGCCCTGGGTGCATGCAAGGACTGCTTATTTACAAGCTTTTTGTTTTTCCTACTTATTATTGGGACTAGGTTCATAATTCTAAGTTCTGAAAGCGCAATAATAATAATTATTATTATTATTCCACCTAAACTTATTATTATTAATAATAATAATAGTGTTGGCATTGAAACACTACAGTGATGAAGAGAAGATGGCATTAACTGAGTTATTGATAATAAGTTGACTGTTTAGTCTTTAAGGGATTCCTGCACGTCACGTGACGTGGTCACGTGACCGAGTTCAGAGTTGAGTTCGGCTCTCCATCATGGCGGTGGTGGTGGGTCGCTGTGCCTTTTGGCGAGCCTGTCGCGTGCACGCCGTGGATGCGGACAGAGCGTGCAGGGTGACGTACCTGTGCACGAGGCCAGGTTGTGTCCCAGATAAAGTGTCTGCGTGTTCTCGGCTGAGCGGAGGCGTCGCAGCGACGCGTCGCTACAGCTCCGACTCCTCCAAGGAGGAGCTGAGGGTCCGGTACCTGGACGGTGAGGACGCAGGTAGGTCACTAGTGAAAACACGAGCTGGGAGGTTTTTATTTGTTGAAGCTGCAAAAAGCAACATTTCATGGCACTTGACAGGGGTGCAACGAAAGAGGGGGCCATGGGGGCAGAGGTTTTAAATTCATGTGACCTGTGCTGGCTAAAAGAATCACAGTGAGGAAAAGTTTGTGTCAGAGAAGTTTCGGTCAAAGGTTATGGATGTTTTTATTACTATGGCTGAGAACAAGAAGCCCAAGACACTATCTCAGTCAGGTGTGCCCCTGAACAACAACCTCAGCTGAGACAACAACACCACCAGCCTGATCAAGAAAGCTCATCAGAGACTCTACTTCTTCAGACGGCTGAGGCGAGCTGGTTTGGGAAGCTCAGTCCTCACCTCCTTCTACAGGTGTGCAGTGGAGAGCATCCTGTGCTCCAGCATCAACGTGTGGCATGGAGGCTGCACAGCTGCAGAAAGAAAAGCTTTGCAGAGAGTGGTGAAGGCTGCACAGAAGATGTTGGAGTCAGTCTCCCCACCATCACAGACATCTACACCCCCAGATGCAGGAAAAGAGCCACCTGCATCATGAAGGACCCCACTCATCCAGCACACACACTTTTTGCCCCGCTCCCCTCAGGAAGGAGGTTGAGGAGCATTAAGTGTAGAACCACTAGACCATAGGCGTCGCAACCATTATATGTGAAGGGGACAAGTCCCCCCCACATTCCAAAAACGTTCATTTGGACACCCCCCCCCACACACACACACACACACACACCTTTACTATAAAACTTTAGTTCAGGCGGCGCAGTTTCTCTTTCATCCTGAACAAATCCATTCCACTTGATTAATAGGAGAATACTCAAACCACTAAAACTCCACTCCATGTTTTCCTGGTTACCTCCAACTCTAAACACAGCAGCCTGCTGCCACGGTCACAATATACGGTGGTCACAGAATATGGTGCAACACCTGCAGTGTTTCTGTGCGTCTCCTTTTGCTTCGGCAGAAAACGCGCACAGGTGGAGGAGATGGAGACATCTCTGTGTTAAGGCTCCGGTATACTGCCGCGTACATCCGTTCACACGTACGTACGCGTGTACTGTACGCAGAGGGTTCAGACATGATACTCCAGCGTACACCCCGAGCAGCTGCAGAGCAGTTTCACAGACAAGGGACGTTTACCTTCGGGACAAATTGAGGTAGCCGATTGGACATTTGCTGACACGCCTACTAGATTGATTGACAGGTCGGAAAAAAAGAAAAGAAAAAGCGAGCGCTGGCAGCCTCAGCCACAGCGGTGTTCTGTGTTTATATGTTGTTAATAAAAAGATCTAAAAAAACAAACAAACAGGGAGCGCTGGCTCTGCAGCCCACACATCAGACCAGCCCACCAGGAAATCTCCAGACCCTCCCGCAGCCACGCTGGACCTGAGTTTAATTTGCTCGTGACAAATTCCTCCATCTCTCACCATTTCAGTCATGGCATCAACGGAGGAGGAAGAGATCGCTGCCTCTTGGCAAAAACAAACAAAAGAAAAGTCCAGATCAGGGATGAAGAAGAGGAATTTAATACATTGGTGTTGCATACAAAACAGTCCGTCGCCGGGCAGTTTATTGTGCGACTACGCGTATGCGGTCGTAAAAATTTGAGCTCTGCACGGAGGGTACGCTGTGGGGTACGCACGTACCTCTGCGTATGAATGTACGCGGCAGTATACTGGGGGCTTTAGTCGCTCGCCAGTTTAGCGAGCTTTTTGCGGGCAGTTGTTGACCGGGGGGGGGGGGGGGTGATCATAAACATATTCATGTTAGGAGGAGAGAAGTGGAGCGCTACGTCTGTAGCATCTTAGCAGTAACTGTGAGGCTGTGAGACGCTGCAGGTGTAAGAGACGTGATGTGTTCAGGTGCATTAAAGTTGAAATGTGTTTAAAACCCCCACACCTTCTTGTCCTCAAGCTTCATGAGAAACATCCTTTAGATGAGTAAGTCCAGTGGTGTGTTTTTTATTTCTCTATAAAGACAAATAGTACCGACCTGACGCTCTGTATTAAAGTTAAAATTACTTTAAACCCACAGCTGAATTTACACAAACTTGGTGAGAAACGTGTTTTAAATGTGTGGAATTAAAGGAAATCTAGGTGAAATGTTGCTTTTTTGTTCACTAGTGAACACGTTTTTTTTTAACGCGCGCGCACCTACACACATTGTGTCCCCCCCCCCACATTACGGATGCTTCTGACGCCGTTGCACTAGACTGAGGAACAGCTTCTACCCTGAGGCTGTTAAGACTCATGAATCTCTAACCAGAATAATCACTGTGAAAAATCACATCATGCTGCTGATTTATTTCATGCTGCTGATTTATTTCATGCTGCTGTGTTCAATCATACTCATCTGCTCACACAGACTCGTGTTCGTGCTGCTGTTGTTCAGTGTATTATTTTTGTACTACTAGTGCTTAGCGTATTTATTTCATATCTTGGATCTTACTACTGTTTTTCTTTATAATTTATACTTTTGTTGGATGTAACTAGGACCCCGTGTACACAGTTTCCTTCCAGCACATGTACCGCATGTGGTGCGAATGACAAATAAAGAAACTGACTATCTCATGATCATCTCTGCCCATGAACCATATGTTTGTGTTAACAGTGAGTGCTGGCTCCAAGAACACCTCCTGAGCTCTGAGAACTCAGCTGAACTGATAAGGGTATAAAAGCGAGTGAAGAGCGCAGCTCGAGGCAGATTCTTGTGACTGGTCTTCATGTGTACTTTTATGTATATTTATCTACTCCGTCCTGAAAATCTGGCCTTGCAAGTAAAACGCCGTTTAAAAATATCCTGCCGTCGAGTGTGGTTCTTTTTGAGGAAACAACATAAATGAGTTTTTCTCCTACAGTTTGATACTGAGTTACAATTATTTCAAATTCTCCAGCTCAAAAGTTTTAAAAAGTTGTGTTTAAATGTTGAAATTTGGTCATTTTTTTCCATTTGTCCCCCATTTGTTTTGAGAGAGAGCTGGTCTGAAAACTTGTTTTTTCTTTGTCTGCAGTGTTTTCATCTGGAATTTTTCAAGTTCTTTGCTTATAAAGGGGAAGTCAAGGTCCTTTATTGTCGTTCACATCAAATGCGGTTCACGAGGTGGAACAAAACTGTGTACACAACCCAAAAATATCAAAAATATAAAGTATAAAAAAAGAAATTGTATACAAGGATCTAAGATGTACGCTAAACACTAATAATGTAATATAATACTGTGTTTTAAACAGCAGCCTGAACATGAGTCTTCGGCGAGCAGATGGGTATGAATGAATACAGCAGCATGCGATCAGCAGCATAGATAATCAGCAGCACAGATAAGTCACATCTCACCCATTAAAGTGGCGTTACAGTGATTTTCTTGGTTAGAAATGTAACAGCTTCAGGGTAGAAGCTGTTCCTCAGTCTAGTGGTTCTTCACTTGATGCTTAATTCTACACTTAACACAAAGTCCTAAGTTTTAAAATGAGTCCCAACCTTGAACAGGCACTTGGAAATCCTGATTGTAAAAGTCTTCCCCTCACGCATCATACCTAGATGTTTGATTACCATCCTGTGCTGGTTCAAACCTTAATATAAAACTTTTGATGTGCCTTCCAGCATCAGCAGCGGACATTTGAGGACCTACTGTGTGTATAACTCCTGAAAGTTGTTCATTTTTAATCACATTTTTCATTAAAAGCCCAATTCATTGTGTAAAGTGCCGTATTCAACACGTTTTACCCAACAGAATTAGTTTTACTGAACCTATCGTAACAAATGATGAGTCCGTTTGTTTGGTTTTTATAGTTCTGATTAGGTTTCAGATGTAAATACGTCTTAAGTAAAAAAAATCATTCCGAGGCCCCACATTATATGAAGGGATTTCCTTCTGCTACAGCAGAAACGAAGATAAATTTTAAAGAAAATTATAAGTGTTATAAAACAAAGGAGTATTTCTGAAGACATATCTAGTAAAAAAAAAAAAATTTAAATAAGAATATTAATAAAAAATAAAATATTTTGCCATTTTAATCACCAGCGTTGTTAGATGGTGTTCTTATTGACTCATTTTTAATAAAAATTGCAATTACAGCAAAAATCTGTGTTTTCTAAAGATGCAGAGGATTTCAGTTTTCAGACAAAGCAACTGTTCCACTTAATGTGCTCGTCATCACACTGGATGTCTTATTCCTCATTAATATTTATTGTAATTTTACATTTGTCTTTCAGGTATTGTTGTTCTTGGGATAAATCGACCAAAAGCCAAAAATTCTATAAGCAAAAATCTTGTCAAATTGGTACGTATTGAGTATTACTTTTTATTATTTTACAATAAGCATGATAAAAATCACTGACTTAGTGGCTGAAACAGGTTAAAGCTTGGAATTCTGCTTTTATTGACCGCTTATTTTAAAGTTTATGAAGAACACGGGATTTTTTTTTTTTTTTTGGTCTAAATATTTGAACTCATCTGCTGTTTAGATATCGTTTTTATCAGTTATAGTTAAGCTCATTACCAACATTTCATCTGACTGGAAAATACATCAACAGTTGTGGTGCAGTTCAGAGTTTGTTCAGTAACTCTGCAGAGTGTTGTGGGGTCCGTGCACGTGTATGTACAATATAACCGGATGTATTGACATTTGCCATCTCCACATCATTGCATTCAGTTTTTAATTCACAATCAGGTGAACTGTAAATATGGAAGCAAAGGAGCTATAGTCCTAAAGTAGAACCTTGTGGAACGCCCATTTTACAGTTTAGAGAGGAGACGTCATCCTATCATCTTTTACACATGCTTTGTTGTTTTAGTACTAGTTAAGTCTGGTTTCTCAGATCACACCATTGGTTGGTTCACTAACTATCTCTCAGACCGGAGGCAATGTGTTCAAAACATAATGGTACTTCTTCCAGTTATTTAACGGTTAACAGTGGTGTACCACAAGGTTCAGTCTTAGGACCCACCCTCTTCACAAGCTACATAGGTAATGTAGGTCAGAGCATCACTGACGCATCCTTACACTTCTATGATGATGACTCAGTTGTTTACTATCGAGCTAAAACAGTTACTAAGGCTTTCCAGCTTTTGCAGTCTGCTTTCCACATCATCCAGTCAGATTTGTTCCATTTTATACTTGTACTAAACCATGACAAAACCAAAGGGATGTTGTTTTCAAACAGGAAGTCGGTCCCAGCAGTTCTTCCTCTTATTTTATCCTCAAATGGTCTCTCTATTGAGTTTGTCGATTCCTACAAATATTTGGGTATCTTGGTCGACTCGCATCTCTCTTTTAAGCTCCATGTGGAAAACCTAGTAAAAAAACTGAAAGTTAAACTGGGTTTCTTTTTCAGAAACAGATCCTGTCTAACTCTGAATGCTAAGAAACACCTTGTAACTGTGACTTTCCTTCCCTCCATTGATTACGGTGACATTATTTACATGAATGCTCCTACAAGAACCCTGTAGATGCTGGATGCTGTCTATCATGGTGCACTAAGATTCATAACTGGCTGTGATTATCGTACCATTCTCTTGTTAACTGGTCATCATTAACTTCACACAGACTTCACTGGTACATTTTCATCTTTAAATCACTTCTTGGTCTGCTGCCTTCATACATCTCCTCCTACATGTCTCTGTGTGAGTGCAGCTACAGCGTGCGCTCTCAGGACATTATTACCTGCAGTGTTCCCTCAGTGAGGACTGAACTAGGCAAAAGGGCCTTCTCCTACTCCGCTCCTGTTTCCTGGAATATCTTACAAAAAGATCTGAAGCTCTTGACCTCGCGTGGCTTCAAACATCTAATAAGTTCCTGGGAAAACCAACACAGACATGTTCTTTTTAGTTTTCTACACCGCCTTACACTGTAGCTGTTTTTGTTTAGTTCTTTTAATATAATTTTCTTTATCATTTATTTTTCCCATTTTATAAGCTTTCTTTTGTGATTGTCCACTGTTGTCATCACTCTTTGTTAAAATCAGGTCTTTCTTGTAAATGAGTCCTCGGCTCAATGAGACTAACCTGTAGAAATAAAGGTTGAATGAAGAAAAGAGCTCTTTGAGTGTTCATAACTCCTTGGACACTTGCATTAGTCAAAAGCTCTCTCCTTTCAGCACTTTAACATTAATCCCTCCATCTTATATTACAAACCTGTGGGTGTTGATGGCGCATGCTGTCTTACAGAACAAAATTAACGTTGCATCAAATTTCATGTAATGGCATTGCCTCTTACCATACGTTATACCATAACTTTTCTTTGTTTGAGTTTAATTTCTGACTTTAAAAGCACAGATTGCCCTGAAAGTCCCTAAACACAAAAGGTTTTAAGTATAAATGTATGAATAAAAGTAACAAAGAATATAAATATGTTCTTTGAACGAGAGGAAATAATCTTTTTTTCTTCCAGATGTTTGAAGCTGTAGAGAGTATCAAGAAGAACAATAAAGTGCGGACTGTCATTTTAGGCAGTTTGGTTCCTGGAGTCTTTTGTGCAGGTGTGATCTCCTTGATTATTGTCACGAGTCATTTTTTTTACTGCTGAAATGTGCTGTTTAATGTCCTGGAGTTGGACATGTTAAATTTGATGCTGCTTGTCTTGGAGTGCAGGTGCAGACCTGAAAGAGAGGGCGAAGATGCACCAGAGTGAAGTTGGACCCTTTGTATCCAAAGCCAGATCGCTCATCACAGAGCTGGGTACGGACTCCGAGGAGCTATGAAAGAACTTCATCAGCAGTTGAAGTGTTGACTCAAACACCAAGCATCACAAGGCTTGATGCTGACATATTTTCCTAAGTGTTTCCCACCTGAACACGTTTATTTCTGTGTAGTGAGGAAAATGATCGAGCTGTCGTGTGAACCAACTTCAGAAGTTTGTTGATTTCTTCATGTTTTTTGTGCTCTTGTGTTTTCAGGTAACCTTCCAGTTCCGGTCATTGCTGCTGTTGATGGAGCTGCTTTAGGAGGAGGCTTGGAAATGGCTCTTGCTTGTGACATCAGAATTGCCTGTGAGACCCCCTGAATTAAACTTTTCAGAACTTTTCACTGAAACTGAAAATGTTTCTAGTTTTGATGACTTTTCCCTTCGTATCCCTCAGAAGGATCATTGTTGTTTTCAGGATGAAATTAAAGTCCCAAATTAACAGCAACGATAAAATGATTAAATTAGATTGATTTTTGGCCCATATGTTAAAACTTTTTTGGCCGATAGACCTACTTACAAAGTCTACATAGCTTTCTCTGTTGTGGAATTAAAATACTACATTATTCTGCACGGTCTTTGTCAGTTTGTCCTGCTACCAAATGCAGATGCTAAAAAGGGGCTGAAAATGATGCAACACTTCAACTTGGATTATGTTTCATGTCAAATTTATTCATGACATTTACTCTCTCTGACACAATGACGACACTCAAACAGTTCAAATTTGTAAATTTCACAAATCTAAACTCAACCCGTTCACAAGCGACAAGTGAAAAGTGCATAAGTAGTAGTGCATTAATAGATAAACGTGACAGTTTCTTAAATTAAAAATTAACTTAAAACAAGCCTTTTATATCGGTGAGTTTTTCTAATATCAGACGATACCGATACATGCCCATAATATCGTGCATCCCTAGTACAAATGATTGTGTGCACAACTTTTTTCCTTGCATCTCCTACATTTTTGTTACGTCATTCCTGTAGAAATGGAAATGTTACATTTTTTAATACGAGTTTCGTTGATTCTTTTACAAACTGTCTGTTTTAACTTGCTTCATTTGTGTTTCTGCTGTTTTATAACTTTTGCATTGATTATTGTGAAGTTATTCAAATTCAAGAGCTCATTGTTGTTTGTTTCTTGGTTTCTTTAGCCAACACTGCAAAAATGGGACTAGTCGAAACTAAACTCGCAATTATTCCAGGAGCAGGTAACAATAAATGTTTATATTTGTAAACCTTTAAAACTGATAAGACAAATCCAGAGTAAAGTTTGTTCTTGACACCTTTTGTATGGAGCTCAAGTACTGGCCATGGAAGAGAGCATTAAAATGTTAAGGACATCATCACCTGCCAACGGTCATACTCCATCCATGTTCTTCTGTCCTACCGTAGGCGGGACACAGCGTCTCCCCAGGTTGATTGGCGTGTCTCTCGCTAAAGAGCTCATCTTTGCTGCCAGGGTGCTGGATGGAAAAGAGGCGCACGGTGTGGGGCTGGTCAATCATTCTGTGGAGCAGAACGACAGTGGAGATGCTGCGTATTTGCGGGCTCTGGAGCTGGCCCGTGAGATCAATCCTCAGGTACATGACGTGACAGAATAATGTAGTTTAGAGGCTTGTAACCTAATGAGGATTATGAGGCTCCTATTCTTGACTCCACAGGGTCCAGTTGCAGTAAGGATGGCAAAACTAGCAATTAATCAGGGGATAGAGGTGAGACAATCTCATAATGACTAAGTTTGAATGAGCTGATTATCTTGAGGACTTTTAGTAACAGCAGGCAACTGTTTGGCTCTGGATGAATTGTGTTCAGACTACCACTCATTTATGGACTGGACCCCTTTTTCTGGAAGGGTGTAATTTATTTTCAAGGTTATTGTAAAGCAATGCAAGTCGCCCAACTCAATTTAAAGATGATCGTAAGGTGCATTATGATGACCAACTAAATATTACACTTTCTTTCTAGTTACTGTTTTATTAAGGTCACTCTGTCCTTAGATCATAGAAGCCTAATCTATGGCCTGTGCGGAGAAAAGTACTCTAAACTTCTTCTTTTTTTTTTAATCACTTCATTGAGAGATGTTCTCTTTCAGGTGGATTTATCCACGGGTCTGGCAATTGAAGAGGCATGCTATGCTCAGGTGAGTGTTTAATCAGCTGTGAAAATGGCCGTTTCAGTGCATGCTTGTTGAGATGCGGTAGAGGTAGGGCACCCGACTTGGGACCAGAAAGTAGAGTTGCATTCGGGCTCAAAAAATCCAACCCAGCTTGTAGCCATCATTTCCGAACCCCACTCGACCCGATGAATTAACAGTAATTACAGGTCAGAACTCAAAAACACCCCCCCCCCCCCAAGCTTTGACTGCTTATCTAGTTATTAACAGTTGGTGGACATGGGGGACTAAGGTGGCAGAAGATCGGAGCTAAGGAGGTGTTTGTCCTTTCATGGCCGTCAAAGCACATTAAATCCCTGCTTCTGCCTTCATTCTGCATGATTCAGACACGGACCCTGCTCTGACTTGTCGGATATTTTGGGATCTCACCTGTTTGGGTCATCGGCCGCGCGCGTCCGCCGCGTGCAGCGGATGAATGAACGTCCATTTCATATCAACTGGCTTCGTTCATGCTAGTTTCTTATTTCTGTCCCATCTGAAGCCTAACTGAACTTTTTTTTTACCTCTTTCAAGGCCGGTCAGCACGCGGTCCAATGGTCACGTGTGGCTGGTGATTGTATGGCAAGCCATGTTGCCATATAATTGGATCGTTAGCCGCTTGCGTCCACTGACGCAGTCAAAAGCCCGACACAGGCCCGGCCCTAATCTGCGTCGGGCTCCGAGTTCAGGTTAGAAATGACAGCTCTACCAGAAAGTCACGGTTCAACTCTCAAACATTCTCACATGTCGTGGTGTCTCTGAGCAAGACACCTAATCCCCAATTGCTCCCAGGGCACTTGCATAGCTGCCCACTGCTCCACCTGGGTGTATCCCACATGCAATGGGTTAAATGCAGAGAACTAATTTCTAACTGTATGGGAACATACGATGATGACAATCTCAGACTTCCCTTGTTGTGCTGTAACTGCACAGCAGAATGAAATCCAGGGAGCTCTTCAGACAGGCCAGGGAAACAGCTCTCGGGTCAAAATTGGGTATTAAATTATTAGAAAATGTTTTATATTCCCTAGAGCATCCTTAAATTTGTTTTTAAGAGGAATAAAATGACACCACATGCAAACTTCCTGTATCACTGGAGAATGTTCACACCGGGACACACATAACTTCTCAACCCCTAGAGTGAAAAATAATGAAGAACAGGGTTGTCCAAGCGCGGTCCTCGAGGGCCTCCTCAAGATTGTCTTTATATTTTGCTTTTTTTTTTCCCTTAAAATCTGACCAGTTTCCCAGTTCTTGTTGATGCAAGAGCATCCCTACAGCATTATACTGCCACCACTATGCTTCTAAACATGATGGTGTCCTCAATGGCCTCAGAGTTCAGTTCTAATCTCATCTGACAACAAAACATACTTCTACATTTTTGAGGAGTCTCCAAAATGCTTTTCTGCTAAATTCAAACTGTCTACTTGTTTTTTTTCATAAAGCAATGCCTTTTTTTCTTCTCTGGTCACTCTTCCATGAAACAGCTCTCTGCAGAAGAGCTCCTTTGGAGTTATCTTCAGTTTCTCGAACACCCTCCTTGTTCCATCTTGAAGTTTTTGTGGACAACCCTCTCTTGACAGGCTAGCTGTGGGGGCATGGTCTTTCTGTTTCCTAATATTGGGTTTACTGGTGCGCCGTGTATGTGTTCAGGGTATGGGATGTTTTGTATGACCCAACCCTGATCTGTATTTCTTCAGTTATGTCTCTGACTTGTGTGGAAAGTTTCTTGGTCTTCATGCTGTCTCTTGGTTGATGGTAACCCACACTAGATGTGTACTGGTGTTAAATCTGGTGCTTTTTGCTGTGGCTTGCTTAGACTTTACTAAACCATTAGCAAGTCCTTGAATTTCATTGTCCGTGCACAGAATCATGCACAGCTTCCACATTATACTCGATCCTCTTTAGACAGACATGTTGGCAACACAAACGCGCAGCTATTTAAAATCCTTGTTGCAAACCAACCAGTCTACGGGAAGTGTGAGTTTGAGATAAAGACGTGTTGTTTCCAGCGTTCACGCGCCTGTCCTGTTTTTAAAGGTGATACCAACCAAAGACCGTCTGGAAGGGTTAGCTGCTTTCAAGGAGAAGAGGAGTCCTCACTACAAGGGGGAGTGAGACCGGAGCTGCACAGTTTCCACTGAGTGGATCAGTACACATCCACACAATAACCTGTCCCATATTAGAGGACATGATGGCTCCTTGACTGCTGTTATTGTCCATTTTAGTCCATTGGCCTGTGAACTGAACAACTTTTGTTTGCAGATAGATTTGGCAAATATTCACTAACAGCAGCTTTAATGAGTTTTAAATAAGATGACTAGAGGGTGCACTCCCTCTCCCATGCACTGCTCGCATCTGTGACATCGTGGAGGACTCGGAGTAAAGATGGGAGACAGCCAACAAAGCAACTATTCGATTAACAGCAAACCCAACTGGATCTGTAAACCCAACTGGATCTGTCGCAATTTATTTGTAATCTTTTTACAATAAATTAGTAGAATTGATCATGTTAATTTCATTCAAAAGTCATATAAAACAGCTAGATGAAATATTAGAATAACTAGATCTGAAGTCAGTCAGTAACACACACGACTCAGAAATAACACACAAAGGGTACCACATAACAATATTTTAATAACATATATTTATTATTATTTACCTGTTTTGTAGTCGACACTTAGAAAATGTTCAATAGATACTTTGGAGGATGAAACTTGTCTCTACTGATACTGACTAACCATCATCTCAGTAGGTCAGGTTTGTGTAATGAACCTAAAAATAGTCACTTACATAAAATTAATTTTACACTAGATCAGAGGCAATGCCAGATTGTGCTAATAATTAATTTGTGCTAAACTGTAGCATATCCTGATGCATGCTCAATAATCCCTAAACTGTAGCATGACTCAGCTCAGTGATACACTCTGTAGAACAATGTCTGCCACAGAAGCTCATATCTAATAACCAACTTCATTAACAGCCATATAGGCTAATTTAAAATTTTAAAAGGTACATTATTAGCTTTAATTATGGTCGGGTCACATTCTTATTAAAATAAATCAGATAACATCTGCTGACTTGTGAAACGAGACACGCTTTCCTTTTTCTCTTCGGTTGGTACAAACATACCACACAGCTTTGTGGCATTTTAAAATGCATTATCTTATGTGCATTGTAATATAAAGATTTTTATTAATGTTATTGTTTAAACATTTTTTTTTTTCATAATCAGCCCTTACTGTTGGCTATTTCTAATATCTACAACAATGCTAAGTCCAGATGCTTGCCCCCTCTGGTTATAGCCCCCGTCCCTCCAGTGACTCGCATCACGTGACCAAAGCACCGTCTACTTGTCTTATTTAACTCTATAAATCATAACCCAATTTTAAAGCTAAAATTAGCAGTAATTCATAACATGCCAAAAAAATATTGCAATAGACAAATTTCAAACTCAAATGAGTAGTGAATTTCAGATTAGCTTTTGTTAAATTTAGGATTGCTTTATGTTTTTATTTTCCACTTCATTGGTGCCTCCTAGTGATATTAACAATCAAAGCAAAATGCTTGGGAAGACTACATTCTTGTAACGTAATAATAAATCTGTGTTTTCTACATATCGGCGCTCATGCTTTCAGACGTCAGTCCAGTAAGTTTGGAACATTCTGGTATTGAAGGCTCTAGCTATCCTCCCAGTTTGCTGACTGTACGGACACGACCTAACCTAATGTAAAAAACATTACTCGTCCTTCTGTCGGCCGCCATCAAGCTTCAAACTGCTTTAATGGAGATTAGTGAACGAAGTGTGTCTGTGTGTGAAATGACTTAAATAAAAATCTAATGCGTCACACGTGTTCTGCTTTATTTAAAGGGAAATACTGGATATTTTCAAGGGAGTTTCAGAGTAAAAGTTCTACACAATTGATATTAGTCTTATCAGTTGAAGATGTTTTGCATGAACAGCCACAGTTTGCAGAAATAATTTACATGTGACTGATGAGCTAAAGACTAGTCCAGTTGTATACAAAGTGATAAATAATACCACCTTAACAGTTTTTGTTCCCTGAAAAGGGGGAATTTAAAATACTGTCTTTGCATGTTTTGAACATTATAACTTGGAAAAAAACGAGTGAAGTACCAACTTACATTTTTGGTGTGTGGCTGCATCATACAATTGGGTTGCCACGTCAAAATCCAAGATGGCTGCCTTCATATGTGCATATAAACTGGCCACCCTGGTAATTTAAGGAAACAATGATTTCTAGTTTGTACAATGCTTAAAAGTGTAGTTTCCTCAAATAATTGGGGTGGCCAAAGATTAGTCTATGGCGGGCCACCGTTGGCCACCCCTCGGCTCCGTCATTGCTCCTAGTGGTGGATAAAATTGCTCCCTCCACTCGCCAGGACCTGTCCCTCTGCAGAGTCTGCACTGCCTCGGTGAAGAAATATTAAGTAAATAAAACAAACCTGTTATGTTCAGTGCAACTCCTACCTGCTTGAATATGTTGCACCAAAACGTCCGGGGTTCAACTTGACATTTAAAATAACCGTGTAAAGCAAAACTAACACAAATTCAAGATTTAGATCATTTGACTGACCTGCTATGATTTTTGGTTTGTTTGTTTTTAGGTTGCTGCCATCTTAAAAAAAAGATCCAATCAAGTTTGGAGCAGAGTTTGGACTCTTGTAAATAACAAAGCGACATGATTATGACCGTGTAAGAGTTAAGCCCTTCACCCAAAACTTTTGTCCATCCCTGCAAACGAAGCCAGTTCAGTATTTACATCAGGTGAGATATTTATTATTTATAACTTTTACATGGAAAGTATCTTCAGAATAGATGAACTATCACTTTACCTGTAAATAATCTCACTACAGCTGTATCTAAAACAATTAGATACTGTGGAAACTCGTATATAAATCCATTAAAGGGAAATATTTCAGTCTTTATTGTAATTTTGATGATTATGGCTTACAGATAATAAAAAACCAAAATTCATTGTCTCAGAAAATCAGAGTACTATTGTGATACAGTTTCATATTGGAATCTCGTGCACGCTGTGCACAGACTAATCTTAGCCATGAGCCTCTGAACCAGAGACAGAAGTGTCTTACCTGAAGTTTACGTCTCTTGGGGAGTGATTTTTTTTTTCTTCTTCAAAGGGTTATAAAAGAGAGAATGGAAATGGAATTTAGAAAATAGGACAATAAATTTTGTCTCATTTTTTGTTTTGTACACTACAAATGGTGACGAAAGCTGTTTGTATGAATTGTGATGTTCTAACACCAGACAAACCGAACAACCAGCTGCACTTTGCTGCAGCTCCGCTGCAGTCGGACGTCTTGCTGCACAACGCCAGATGTTTCTAAATCTACTCGTCTGCAGAACATTTTCTACAGTCAACAAAATGCATCATATTCGTTTTTCATCACACAAACGCTCTGTATAGGGTCCGGTCCTTTATAGGTTTTATTCAATTTAAAAGGTGCACCAAGATATATGCATAGGTTGAGCTTTAAAGTATAGAGGGACTTCCTCTGAACTCTAAAGACATCAGTCTGATCAGAATGATGTTGTTTATTTCTGTTTTGTCGGTCGTAGGCTGTTTGGTGTCGTTTGTCCAGACTAGATAAACAAAAAGTAACGACATTTGTGTTTGGTCAAATATTTTCACTTGAGTGGATGCTGAAGTTGAGCTCAAAAATACATCCATCCACCCATCCATCTGTCCATCCATCCATCATTCTATCCATCCATCCATCCATTGTTCCATCGTTCCATCCATCCATCATTCTATCCATCCATACTTCCATCGTTCCATCCATCCATCCATCATTCCATCCATCCATCCATCTGTCCATCCATCCATCATTCCATCCATCCATCCATCCATACTTCCATCCATCCATCATTCCATCCATCCATCCATCCATACTTCCATCCATCCATACTTCCATCCATCGTTCCGTCCATCCATACTTCCATCCATCCATCCATCCATCCATCATCTATTCACCCATCCGCCCACCCATTATCTTTACCCGCTTCTTCCTTTTCAGGCCATGGGGGTCACTGGTGCTCATGTCCAACGGTCACTGTGTGAGAGGTGGGGGACACCCTGGACAGGTCTCCAGTCCATCACGGGGACAGAGATAAACGAGACAAACAACAATTCACCCTCTCACCTAGGAACAATTTAGAGTTATCAATCAGTCTAACATACATGTTTTTGGTCTGTGGGAGGAAACTGGAGTACCCGGAGAAAACCCACACATGCATGTAGAGAACATGTAAACTCCACCCAGAAAGGTCCCGGATCAGGATGCGAGCCGGCGACCTTCTTGCTCAGAGGCAACAGTTCTACCCACTGCTCCACCGTGCTGCCCAGGGCAAATGTTAAACCAAGTTTTGTTTAGATGGCAGGCTAAAGTGAAGCTAAACACATTTGATTTGAAGTAATCCACATCTTTGTTACCATTTGATTCTTGTAATGTTTCCACCATCCTTTGCAGTTTAAGATTAAATGTTTGTTTTGTTCTTTTAAAGCCCCCCACGTTCCTTCTCCACCCTAACTTTCTGAACTTTCACAACCTTGTTTACCCTTTCATCTCTCAGGTCAGCTTCAAGATGGCTGCCACTTGGCCTTAGTGAACACACGATGTCTGTAACTCAGTCTGTTTTACTGACTGAACTAAAATTTGGTGTGGTAGTAACAGAGAGTCATTCACAACACATACTATGAGGGCCAATAGATGGAGTGAGGTAAAAACTGGTGATCTGCATTCCTACAGGGATCACTAGTTTTTAGTTAGTAAAGTTTCAAAAGACGAGTGAAAGTGCTGCTGTCTGTCACCAACTACAAAGTTACAATAGCATATATCAGTCGCAGGAGCATAAGAGACCTGCTGAAATTTGTTTGGTTTTGGCGTGTCACCCTCCCCGTCCTCAGGCAAAACATCCAACCACTATTTACTCTTAGAGAAAAAGAAATGCACAGCAGCCATGACATTTGCCATGAAGTCCTTTAAATAAATCATCTTAAACTTAAAGCTGTGCATGGCCTAAAATAATAAAAAAAAACTTTTAATTTTACAGGAAAGTTGGATCGTATATTTAAATGTATTGATTTTATTTTACCCTGAGCTGTAAAATAAACACAACCAGAACAGTTTAACACAATTCTAGATAAATAGTTATTAAGCCTCCTCTCCAGAGTCAGGGTGGGGGAACTCATGGGGGCTGCGTTAGTTTTACTTCAAATTCTGTGACAATTTAGCGTTCAGGTTGTTGGCAGTTTAAAATGAGGCCTGCAGGCTTCTAGTCCGTTACTATACGAGGATATAAGTAGAAAGTTCATATATGAGTCTGGAGACAGACGGTTGAGGCCTTGGCCAGCGGTTGCGTACAGGCCTGCCCTGTGGCTTCATGTTGCTGCTGCAAAGAACCAAACATCAGAATATTTGTCCCCACTGTGGCTGGCCTCCTTCCGGCAGATGTCCCATGTCTAAGCCGGGGGGAATCCCACCACAAGCAAAAGTTGCGTAAAGAAGGATCGGTTTCCCAATACTGGAGGCCTGGACCCCAGCAGTTTCTCACGGGAAACGGTTTACCTTTAAACCAATGTATATTTATCTTCTATACATACATATATTTAATATATATTATTATTATTTGATTTTTGTGTATGTTAAGAATCTAAGGAACACTTTGTGTCACTACGCACCAGTTTGTGCTCTACCGTTCTTGTCACCGATGTTGTTTGCACTTTATTTACTCGTAGGATGTAGTTTGGGGTTTTTACATCATTTTAAATTGTTTCTAATCTTGTTCAGCCGAACGCAAACATTAACAAAAATCAGTCCGTTCTCAGAAATTTGCAGTAATTTAAAACCACTAAGATTTTCTTTCTGCCCCTTTGAAAAGGAGCCAGACTTGTAATCCTGATCCATGGATCTCATGGCTTTTTTAGTGTTTTTTTTTCTTTCTAAGATCTTATGAAAACTGACTTATTTTGTTTATTTGTTTCTGTTCACTCTGTTTACCTGCACCCGACAGCATAAAAAGCAATGTGTCTTTTTAAATATGAGGAAGGTGGACAAGTTAAGACAAAATAAAAACTGTCTAAAGTAATAAAAGATGTGAATTTTGTGTTCTTAAGAAACTGTGTGTGGGGGGGGAATAGATAAATAACCTGACGTGCATCATTCTTCAGTTGATTAGGGGCCTGACTGTTTCACTGGTCAGACATTTGTCTGAAAATGATCAGGCCCTAGATTGATACAGAGTTTAGCAAAAGCGACCCAAGTTCAAGATGATCTGAAAGACCTTCAGAAAACATTAAGAAAAATTGCTCGACAATTTAGAAAGATTTCCAAGTCTGACTTCTTGAAAACAATGTAAAGACATGAAGTGCGACCTTCAGTCTCATAGGTCTGAAGAAATTCACTCAGCACTTTATGAACTGTTATTCTTGTTCCCCTGAACAATATTTGGGTAAGAAGTTTCCCTTCAGGAATAACCTGAAGATTTAAGAAGTTTATTTCTCACTTACAATGGGGGCTTACAACACATCCTTGCGGAGCTCCTGTGTTCATCATGCTGGTTTCAGATGTGCACTTGCCCAATCCCAATGTCTGGGGTCTAGTCTTGTGGAAATCCAAGAGCTATTTGCTCAGCTGGTTGTTCAGTTCTTTAGCTTGGTACCATCCCACAGTGTAAACAGGCTGAGGCTGTCTTGATCCACACAAAAAAAACGGGTTGAGCTTAGCAGTGAAGCCAAAATATACCTGGTTAAATTAACATTCATGTCAGTAAAAGTGCGTATCCTTAAGCGCCAATGGTTGTTGGGATGGAAATGGGATTCCACAGGTTCTCTGGTGTTCGATTTCTTTCACTGTGCAACACGTGTACCAGATCATGTCCCAATGTCTGAGACCCCTTTGTTACGCAGCGGCGATGACGTTAAAGACTCGGTTGACTGTATTAACTCGTTTGTGAAAGTTTGTATGTGTACAGTGGACATGATCTGGTTTATTGCTACATCAATAACTTCCCTGTCATCTGATGAACATCATCCAGTTTGTCAGGCAGCATGAGTTTAAAGTGTTTGGACCATTCTCTTGTCACTAGAACTTCTCGGATGATACTTCGTTTATAATCCAGGATTAAAAATTGGCATCATGATCACTTTTCCCAAAGCCAGGTTACAAGACTGACCCATAACCTGATTTGATTAGAACGTATCACTGATCCACGTATTGTAACCCCTTCATGTAACATGATAATAGAAGTTGGACCTCAACTGTCAGAGGTTTGTTCTGCCATTTGCTGAGCGCATCACGTACTGCAGCCACTGCAGCCCGTATCTGCCAGGGCTTGAATGTAGCCATGACCATCACTGATGGGAACTCTCAGGGCAGATACAACGTCTAGTACAGGATGGCAAAATGCTCCACATGTGGCAAACAGGAACAATATTTGATATGATCAAAATTATAGTCAAGATTTTATTCCTAGCCTGAATATTTATTAGTTTTAGCAAAACATTTTAAAGAAAAAAATAATCTGTTCAATTGAAGAACAACTCATGCGTTTGTGTTTGACTAACTCTGAAGCCCCATCCCTCAGATACGTCCACACTGTTGGGTTGCCTTCAGGACCAGGCCTCCCTGGCAAAAGAGACCGAGTGCCCCATGTTGGTTTGCAATATGAGCTTAAAGGTTGTGTAAACTAATGAACGATTTCTTAAATAAAAAGGCACAATTACTATACACTGCAAACTGTTTGTTTTAGGTGCTGACTTCCATTGTTTCCCACAGGTTTTATGTTATTATTGTATATTTAAACAATATCTCTAATTAGATCATTTTGAATCAGTTTTATTACCTGATAAAGTCAGGGAAATGAACAAACTGATCAGAATGGTTGTGTCTGTGCTGTGGGTTACTCTAAGACGGGGGTGTCAAACTCCCTTACAAAAGGGGGTCAAAATTAAAACCTTTTTCAAACAAAGGGCCAGTTTCAGAATCTACATTAACTCAAGTCAGATACGCAACATCTTTTCTTGGTTGCAGGTTCTTCAACAAGAGTTTGATTGGTTTTATTTGATGTTCTCTGTTGCACTTTTGACATCATAATCAAAGATTACTGAAAAAAATTTAAGTGATAAAAGTATTTTACATTTAAAATAACATCTTGGGGGGCCATTTCAGATGTCAACGAGGGCCACATTTGGTCCCCGGGCCTTGAGTTTGACAAATATGCTCTAAGACGTTGAGAAGAGACTGTGCTAATAACAGTGTATAAAATAAAGGTTTTTTTGTTTGTTTGTTCTTTTCAGCTGCTCCCTTCTTCAGGGGTCGCCACAATGAACTAGTCGCACGAAGACTTGGCGATTATTTTTATGCTGGATGCTCTTCCTGATACAACCACAGACCACTGAGCTACCACAGCCTCTGTGTGGAGCAGAGAGCTGCTATCTAGGGCACCCGGAGGAGCAGATGGTGGGGGTTAAGGGCCTTGCTCAAGGGCCCAGAGTGGGACAAATGAGGGCGGAGGCAGGTGTGGATGTTTCACCCTTTCCACCCACATTTTGATGTTGTCGGTACGGGGAGTTGAACCGGTGACCTTCCGATCACAGGCCCACCTTCTCTAACCTCTGCGCCACCACTCCCCACAGTGTATAAAGTAACATATAAAAAAAAAAAAAAGCATGACATTAAAAAAACACTGCGTATGTTAAATTCTTTATACAGTCTGCTGCAATATAAAAATGTATCAAAAAGTTTTATCATTTGAATTTGGATATGAAATCCACAAACAAAACATCTGTAATGTTCTGTTAACTCTTTAGCATTGAACTCATACATTTTACAATGATGAATTCCGGTTCTTATGGTACTAGAATGATGTATGTGTATATATATATATATATATATATATATATATATATATATATAGATGTGTGTGTGTGCCATCTGCTGGTGTTCTGTTTTATCCACTGGTCCTTCCCATGTATCTTGATGGGTACAGAGTAACACACTTGTTGTGTGTGGGCCTCTATAAACACACCAGGTTGTGTGTATAGTAACTGTAGTTTCATGACTAAAGTTTTGTTTATACATCAAGGTAGTAAAGTTTTCAAAGTTGCATCTGGGTTAACTACAGGAACAATAACTTTTAGACAGACGAGACCAAAGTACATGTGTTTGCCTGTAATAACGCCACATTTTCCAAAATGCTGTCAAGCATGGTGGTGGAAGGCTGATGATTTGGGATTTGCAGCCAATTAATACAATTAATCAGGTAACCATGAACTCCTCTGTATACTAAAATATTCTACAGTCAAAACAACGCCATCTGTCTGACAGCTGAGGCCTGGTTGAGAAAAATGATCCCAAACACAACAACCTGATTAAAATCCTGGGACGAAACCTCTCTGAACTGAAGCACTGTCGTAAAGAAAAGTGGGCCACCATTTTCTCCACAGCCGTAAGAGAAGCTGACCAAGTCAAAGAAAACAACTCCTGGGAGTTTTTGTTGCTTGGTCCCGTACATTGTGATCCTGGTGGTTTGTACGTACTTTAGGAGGTTTTGTTGTTTGTTGCGTTTGTTATTAATGAGTGATAACTCCTTTTTGTTCCTGTTTTTTATTGTTTCCTCCCTGCGTTATGTCCCAGCATTTCCCTCTGATTTTCTGCACCTACAGTTTAAACACGATTTCTTGTGTTTCCACTCACAATGTTCACATTGTGTCTTTGTTTATTGAATGACCTGATGAATCTGTTGCATCATTTCTTACACTTAAGGTTTCATTTGAATAATTTTGGAACCTGGGGAAAAAAAAACGTACTTTATATGAGCTCATGTGGAAAAATCTAAAACTGAAAGACGGAACTTTTTTTTTTAAATACTGTAAATAATTATTTTTAATGATTATAAACTATTTAGTCATATTCTGACCAGCTGGTGCGTTGCTAAGATTGTGTCTTAAACAGACTCATCTGCTGATGTATCGATTTCCTGATATCACTTTACAATAAGGCTCCCCTTATAAATGTTAATAAATAGTTTATAGATACGTTATTATGTACACTTTATAAATCGTTAATAACGTCTTATTATGCATTAATTAAGGGTGACTGAGAGACAAAACTGACCAGTTTCTTGCCAAATCTGTTCACCTATATATTTATTCTAGAGTTGTTATATTAAACATTTCAGACCAAGTTACTAAACACAATCAGCATTTGTAAACCTATTTTTTAGGATACAATATTGTACTTTATCACAGCATTATAAGTATCTACAACTAATATTATATGCTAAAGAACTATGTTTAAATATATTTATTGTGCTTACAAGGTAGTAACTTGGTCTGAAATGTTTAATATAACTCTAGATAAAATATATAGGTGAACAGATTTGGCAAGAAACTGGTCAGTTTTGTCTCTAGGTCACCTTTAATTAATGCATAATAAGCAGTTATTAATGATTTATAAAGTGTTTATAGAGGAATTGATAACATATCTATAAACAATTTATTAGCGTCTATAACGGGAGCCTTATTGTAAAGTGGTACTGATTTATCTTATGTTGGTTAAGATTAATTTCACAATGTTTTTGTAAATAAAAGGACAGTATATTAAAAAAACATGTGGTTTCTGTGGGTGGTCTGTGTGATCCTAGACAATGACACAACTTCTGTGTCTGAGAACAGCCAGAAGCCTCTAGTTCCACTGAAACAACGAGACCCTTTGCAGTTTATCTATAAAACTTTAATGACGTTGTGTGACAGCGTTCACAAGTTTCGCAGCGTTCAGTTGGAAGCACAAATAAATGATGATGCTACATCGTGAGCTGTAACCTTTTCTAACTAAAAAAAGTCATAAACTTCTTCTTCATGTCATTAAAAATAAGAATATAAAAGAAAATACATGGCATATGCATAATAATAGGTGAATTTGTTGCATCTTTAAGTCGTGCTGACTGATCTTTTCTGTCACTCGTTACGAGATGTAGCTCCACACTCACTTCATGCAGCGCTTCTCTTCATGGCTGTACTTTAATACACACAGTAGACGTTGGATGATGAACAATCTGAGCCGCAGCTCTCAAAATATTTGAAATTCTGCGCAAATCCCAGCATTTCAGTCTCTTTATTGCAAAGTTTGTAACTCAAAAGACATTCATGATTAATGGCTTATAGACGACAAATTGCTTCTCGGAGCACGAGTGTGCATCTTATCATAAAATCTATAGAATCAGTGTGTAGAGATGTCATAGTAATACTCTCGTAGTCTTGGCTCGACGACAGTAAACGAAGGCCTTTCTTCCACCCTGGAAGACAAAAAACAGTTAAAAAAGTTTATGCTTTTTAATAAAAACTGACCATTAATTCCTGTAATGCCCAGATGTGACTCATGTCACTTACTTGTACGTCCAACATGCTGCCATGACGTCAGACATCTCTGGTGGGCAGTTCACTGGGCAGTCCATGCGTTTCCCACTCTCAATCATTTGCATAACGTCGTTTCCTTTCATCCCCTGTGAACACGTCAGAATAAAGGTGAGGACCACTTTGGAATGATTACTTTGTGTTTCGAGAATAAAGCACGTCATTATTTAACTTCAAATGATGAGAAGAAAGTCAAAGTCGAAATAATGAGAACAGTTATTTTGAGGTTTAAAGAGCAATAAAAACAATTGACACTAAGGCCTCTGATCACATGTTAGGCGTGTAAATCAACGTTAAACTTCAGAATGGGTTCTTATAAATGAGAAACTTCCTTTAGCACAAATCCTGTTCATGCTGGACTGTGCACAACCTGCACACAATGTCTTCAAAGTCCTTTGGCTGCAGCACGACTTTTACCACCGAGCAACAATAATAAGAACGTAAAATTAATTCGTAAGCTCCAGATTATCTGAGTGTTTCGAGGTCAACATTACATGTGTATGTTTGGGGCTTTTATTGTGAAGGATTGAAGAAAGTTCTGGTGTGATGGAGCTGCTGCAGCAGAAAACACACCTCAAAGATGTCGAAGGAAAGTTTTGTGCTGGTAATTTGTAGTGCGCTCAGTAAAAGTGTACTCGTGATGTTAATAAAAACCAGGAGCCGGGTTCAATCTGGGGGGCTTTTCTCTCAGCGTTACGACTTTAATACTGAAACTGGATTAAAGAAAAATCTCCTCAGTTGCTGTTCTTCTCTTCTGTGTGCCCCTTAAACATAACTGAATCCATTCACACAGCTGTACAAGAAAAGTAAAATATATTCTAGTAAAACAAACACAAAATGGTTATTCTTAACATCTGCTAAGAGCGCTTAGTCAAATTAACCATGTTATCAATCATGCAACAGCAGTCAGTGTAATTATAACATGCTTCAAGTTTCACAGCAGGACGTCCACATTTCTAAATCTGACAGTTCCAGTACAGACGGAGGCTGACGGCTCAGGATGAACAAACTTAGCTGGTTTCCTCTAATCTGTTTAACTTTCCTTCTCGGCTCTGGTTGGGCACGTTTCGCAATATACTCTTCAGATATTTTAAACAAGATACACGTTTTTTTTTTGGCTTATGAGAACATTTCAGTCCACATTAGTGATGTGACTTGGTGCTACATAAATAAACTGAGTTGAATTAGTTTTCTAAAAAGATACACTCGCCACCAGGTGGCGTTAAAGTCCAGAGTAACGAAGTATAAAACCACGAAGAACATTCATAACTTGACTAAAGACGCTCCTAAAACTGAAAATATGTGTTACAGACACAAGTTGCTGTCCTGTTATCTTAGTGGACATTAAAATAACCTTAAAACATGAAGACAGTCCGCTCTGAGGCTAACGTGAGCAGCTCTGCCGGTTTGTCTAAACTTAAATAAATCTCACAAACACAAACACTTTTTAAATGTACAAAACTACTGGGAAGTATGTGAGGATCTAACTGAGTAAAATCACAAAACTCTCTAAAACTGGTTAAATGCAGGACTGTGGCATCTGGACTGGAATTTTCAAGCAAAGACTAAAACCAGCACCAGAGACCATTATCGATATGGACCGGATCAGGCCCATCTCGTTATGATGCAGACAAGTTTACAATTCAACAACATGACACCGCTACAAATCTAAAACAAAGTATTTGTGATGCAGAGTCTTAATATATAAAGTATATAAAGTACGTAAAACAGACTGTCGTGTTGCAACTTGGACACACACGTGCACGACGTGAGCGAGTGAAAAGTGTTAAAGAGGTCATCCCGACCGAGGCCGGGGATGAGTCATCAAACCTTGTATGGTTTTTGGCCGTAGGAAAACGCCTCCCACATGAGCACGCCAAAGCTCCACACGTCACTTTTGGATGAAAACTTGTAGTAGTTTATGCACTCAGGAGCGTACCATTTCACGGGCCACTTCCCATGACCTTTAGCCTGGAGGAGGAGAAACACACGAGTTCATCCTGCAGCTCCGTGTCACCACAGGGTTAATGTGCCCCAGGCACGGACGTCACTGAAGCCACAAACCAAGTTATCTGAACGTTTCATTGTCCCCTGAATGGAAATTGTATTTTTGCAACAGTAAAACCAAAGAAACATCAAAAATGATGAAATGTTTACGAGAGTTCTCAACTTCCTCCCGTGCGTCGTCGCTGGAATTATGAACATTTCTTAAAAATGTTTGATACTACTAAACAACAAAATTTTTTGTCAGAGGGCCAAATCAAGGTATTTAAAGCGATCGAAGGGCCGCATAGAGAAATAGTAAAAATATTTTCTTTATGATCTGGAACAGTTATTTCAGGCTGTATCTTGTTGTAGCAAAGTTAGCATGCTTGATATACATGTCTCCTCAATACTTTAGGAATATAAGACATATTCTTTGTAAACTGGCTTTTGAGACAGTATGTGTGTTAGCTTCAATAAAAAACACCAAATTCTTGCTTTGTGGAGTCTTTAAGGTTCAGTCTAGTTCTGGAAACACAACGACTTCAGGAAAAAGCTTTTGGCTTTTCTTAATCCAAACGTTTTGGATGTAGTTGTCCAAGATGTTTAATTTAGACTTAAGTTTCATTGATAAAATGCAGGTTTACATCAACTTATTTAAAAGTTGTTTTCTTTCCAATAAAGAATATTGAGGGCCAGATAGAGATTGTCCAAAGGCCACTTTTGGCCCTCGGGCCATATATTGCCCATGTCTGTTCTAAATAGTCACAAAGTTTAAATTAGTTTCAGTAAATCAGAAAGCATGAGGAACCGGTGACAACTTTGAGACAGATTGGCAACTTACGAAACCAAACTGAGACTGACTGGAGACAAAGAAGAGAGTAAACTGTGATTAGACATAATTAGAAACACTTTAAAAATGCACTTCATTTGCAGAAATGTCACAATTTAATTGCAGTTACGTACACATTCAAAGTTATTGTGTTTCAGCATGGTTCAAAATGGAAATTTATTTATTTTCTATTGATTTTTTATTCTAAACTAGTGGCTAAAAGCAAAGGTTTTAGGTTTAAGGCAGAGGTCATCGAACGGCGGTCCACAGATTGGAACCAGACATAAATAAGGTTTTATTGAGACCTGAACTGGTTTTAAAATGTAAAAAAGTATAAATACTTGTTTGCCTGGGCATGTTTTGTTGAATTGCAATGATGGACTGTAATCAGTTTTTATAGTCTTTATGCTAATTCCAGTCATTTTGTAAGGATGGTACCATTTGCTGTGTCTGTGTTTCCCTAGTGTTTCCTCGTCAGTTTAATTGTTGCCACCTTTGTCTCCTCACACCTGTTGTAATCACGTCTGGTCTCGTCCTTGTATATAAGCCTCCTGTTCTGTGTTGTTCCTTTGTCGGGTCGTATTCGTTGGGTCTCCTGTGTTCTCCTGCGTCTTCTGAGTCTTCCCTGAGTTTCCTGAGTCCTCCCTGAGTTTCCCTTTGAACCATCCGTTTTCATGTAAGTCTTGCTGCCACGTCAGCTATTATTTTGTTCTTTATTTTCTATTAAAATACTTATTTTTGTAATCTGCTGAGTTGAGTCCTGTCTGCACTACTGGGTTCGTTCCTGACCACCAAAATCCTGACACATTTTAATTGAATTTCTATAAATTGTACAGTAAAAAAAAGATAAATGATCTCATGAGTTCATTCTTTTTGTGGAAAGGTTCAAATCTGTTTACATTTAGAGACTAAATCTGCAGTGTAAAGGTTTACATGGTTTTTTTTATATATATTTTCATTTAAATTTGTAGTTCAAGAAATGTGTTGAATACTTTACAGACACACAAATACACCCCCATTACTGCAGCCCCATTCTGAAAGTGTGGTGACTTTTTGTAGATGTAACCTTCTCACCTTTTAGCAGAGGAAAACGTGCATAATAATGATGTCACTGTCTGCTGAATACCTCAGATGAAATTACCTTGTAGTAGTTCTGCTCCTCTGCAACGGCCTTAGAGAGGCCAAAGTCGCTGATCTTTGCATAGTGCTGCGTGACCAGCAGGACGTTCCTGGCTGCGAGGTCTCTGTGCACGAAGTTATTCTCCTCCAGGTACTTCATCCCCATGGAGACCTGATGAACCAGCTCTGTGATGTTTCTGATGGACGTGCTCCTGTGGATAGGTCTGAATGTGACTTCACCTCATATGGAGGATAACAAGAGATAGTCTTATTGATCATGAACGTCAATCTAATATCAGAACCTGAGTAAACGTTTAGCACAGCTCTGTTGGTTTCAACTCAAATTTCAACCCAAGCTCATTCCTACGTGCGCGTTTCTAAAGTCAAACAAGCGCGTCCTGCCGGCAGCGTACTTGTTTTTCTGCAGGAACTTGTTGAGCGGACCCAACTCAGCCAGTTCCATCACCAGCATGAGTTGCTCTGCTTCACAGATCCCAATCATCCGAACGATGTAGGGGTTGTCCAGCTGCTGCATGACGTTGGCTTCCCGCAGCATTTCCTCGCGCACGGCCGGGTTGTTCTCATCGTTCTTCAGAATTTTAACGGCGACCTGTTTCTCTGTTCTGACACACAGAGGAAGATTACTCGTTACAAAAATACACGGGGGTATTTTTGTCGTGCCTATTTGCAGACATTTGTCGCAGCCTACTTTCTCATCTTGTAGATTCCTTTCATGACGGTGCCAAAGTTGCCCGAGCCCAGTACTCCGTCCTCCAGAATGAGCTGCGTGCGATCCACGGTGGAGCTCCTCATCTCATCTGGATCTGCGTAGGGACTCTCGTACACCTCTGTGTCCATGGGCATCGCCTCTGATGGAGACAGACGACCATGTTAAAGGAAGTGATGTCACCGAGTTTAAACTAAGTGGTTCAGTTTAAATAGAAAGCTCGATTTGTGCTCCTGTTTAAACTAAAACATTAGTTGCTTTTAGTCCTGTAGGGATTTATTAAAAAAAAAAAAAAACCTCCTTATTTAGCCAGATTATTATGAATTCAAATTAAAAAATGCATCCAAAATTTTATTTTTTTTCAGACTGAGATTAAAGCACCTCTGAAAATAATTTAAATCTACTTCACAATGTAAACTAGTCGTGGACTAAAATAAAGCCTTAATTTTTTAAGATTGTTCTAAATATAAAATAATAATGAATAAATAATAAAATAAAATATAGCTAAATCAAAGCGATAGACTTTAAGTTTTTATTCCTTGTGCAAAAACAAAACAAAAACTTTTAACAACTCTGAAACTTTTTCAACAGAATTGTTTTTGTATTGAAACTTAAAATACGTTTAAAATTTTACTGTAACTTAACTAACATTTATTTGTCACGTATTAATGAACAAATGAATTCGGTTTTATTACTTAACATTAAACTCTAAAGTTAAAGAAAATCAATAAAATATAGGAAATAACAAGTGTCGTTAATGGGGTTCTTGTTCTTTAACATAGTCACAACCGAGGCAAATAAATAAATAAACATGGGTAAACAAACAAACAAATATACAAGCAAATAAATAAATAAATAAGCACAGATAAACAAACAAACACAAATAAATAAACACTGGTAAACAAACATATGAATAAATAAAACAGATAAACAAACAAACACACACAAAAATAAATACTGGTAAACAAACTAACTAACAGATCTACATAAATAAATAATTGAATACTGGCAAATAAATATATACATAAATAAATAAATAAATAAATAAGCACAGGTAAACAAACAAATAAATATACACAGATAAATAAATAATGGTAAACAAACAAACAAATAAACAAACAGATATACATAAATAAATGCTGGCAAATAAATATATACATAAATAAATAAGCACAGGTAAACAAACAAATATACATAGATAAATAAACACTGGTAAATAAGCAAACAAACAAGTAAATAAAAACAGTTAATGTGTTTCAGGTTCATCTGTGCAAACACAACAAACACAAATGTGATTTTATGAAACCGTCATATTTCTCGGCTGTATTGTGGCATGACTGCTGAACGTCACCTCGCAACAAGAAAATATCTGGAGTCGTTTATTTATTTACTTTATATTTTGACAAATGTAGATTTTCTGCTCATTTGCACCTTCCATCCATCCACACACAAACTGAGGTTTAAGTGAAAAGAGCAGAAATTAACAATAGGTACGCTGGTGTCCCTCGTCTCTGAGGTGTTTGAACTGTGAATGTTTGTTTTCAAGATGAGTGTTTTTCTGGTCTGGAGCTGAACAGGGAATACAAGTAAACCTTAATGTTTTTGGTGTAAGATATACAAGTGGGTGTGAGTTACACTGTGGAGAAGAACAGAGGTCGTTTTTTTCTTGTCCAAGCAGAGGGAGCGGTTTTATCACCAGGTACAACGGTGGTGCCAGAGGGTGGCCAATGGTGGCCGAAGATTAATCTTTGACCACCCCACTCATTTGAGGAAACTATACCTTTCAGCTATAGAAAGTATTGTTTCCTCAAATAATCAAAATGACTGGTTTTAATAATGATTTTGGCAGCCATCTTGGATTTTAACATGGCAACCCAATTTTTGAATCTTTCTAGATGTTGCCACACACCAGTATGGAAGGTGGTACCTCACTTATTCCTCAAGTCATTGAGCTCTCAAGACAGATGGACGGACAGAGGCGCGATTCAAATTTATCTTGTCGTCCTGCGACACGAGACAAAAGGAGCTTTGCTCTTGGTGTCTCCCCAGAAACCACAACAACCATGAAGCTGTTTGTTTGGATCCTGTCACCAGCAAACAGCTCATGAGCCGAAATGGTGAAAAATTGAAAAACAATATTATTTTTGGGTAGACTTTTTCATCAAGCTGAGATGTTTGTATTTTTGTTGTTTGGTATGTGGATAATGTGGATGCTCTCCCTGCACCGTGGTGACGGTATTTCAGCATTTAGTTATAACGTTTAAACGAACCTTTGTCCATATTTGGGGGAAATGATCTGTTTTAGAAACAATCAGTGCAGACAGGGTCTACGTTTGACATTACTGTGCGTGTCTGGGTTTAACATGGACCTTAACATAAAAGTTAGGTTCAAGAAGACATTTAAAATCCTTTACGTGTTTGTGTTTCCGGTTGTTTGTCTTGTGTGTTCAAGTGTTCAAGACTCTGTGACGAACTGATGGACTCAGCTTTTTAAACTGGTAATACAAGTTTTTTATTTCAGTAAATTCTATTTAAATCATGCATTATAGACTAAATAATACCTAAAGTTTGTAACATGACAGTTGCCTTGATAGAAATATTTTATTTCAGTAAATTTTTGAACTTACCTTTACTGGCTGCTTGATTTCCGGCCACCCGGGTTGCATAAGGATTGGGGTTATCTGGGTCCTGTTGAGATTCACCACTCTGCCATCAGTTTATCAAAAAGGTGATGTTTTAGAGAATACACAGTGTGAAACTGCATGCAGAGTACACATCTCTGAAACAACGCGTGTATTCAACTACCAGCTACTGAATAAATACAATTAAAAAAGATTCATGCTAGTCATACCACTATTCTAATCTCCAGGATTTGATCTAATCCTGCTGCTTTCATGGTGGAAATATAGATCTTAAAACAATTCCAAGTTTCTTCTAAAGTCTTCATGATAATGAAAAATGTTCCAGACACAGTGAATGTTGTGTAAATTAATAGATTCACACTTTGATTCAATGATGTTCTAGAAAAATATCTATATTTTCTATTTGACTGGGCAACCTTTGTCAAAGGAGGGTGGTGCTAGTCGCTGCCAGACCCCCCTTTAGTCATAATACATAATACATAATGAATAATACATAATACATAATGAATAATACATAATACTTCTTGAGCTTATAGCCTCAAAAGTGCAACATTTGGGTGCAACAAAGCACCAAGAATGTTATAAAGTTTATGGAATAAGTTTAGAAGCAGCACAACTCACTGATGCATTCATTAGGAGCTGGGAGGTGTGTGTGTGTGTCCTTGTTTATGCTACTTTGTGAGGCCCATTTTT